ACAGGCCTTTCAGTGTATGTATATACAACATATACTTACGGTGTTACATAGGTACATAACTGCGATGTAACCCGAAGCAATAGTATGGCAGGGTGATGGCCTTGGATATTAATTGCATTCTGCAAAGGACAGTGAGCAGGCCCACCCTGCCTATGCTGGTTAGTCAGCTTTTGAATTGCCACAGTCAACTGCTATCAATGATTTGAAAACGCGGCAGATTCCAAAGTCTCGTGTTACGCGTTTGAGCGCTTCGAACAGCACACAGACAGATGGCTGGAAGAGAAGATGTTCTTTTCCCGTGTTAATGGAAATGATGATTTGTGTGCGCTCTCTAATTGCGTGGGATTTCTGCATAATTTCAAGGGATTGTGATCGACAGATTGGCAAAACGAACGAAACTTATCGAAAAAATCTTCTCGGCCTAGGCAGGTTTGACAGGTGAAGATCTTAGAAAGCATCTGTGTTTAAGTCTTTTCCACTCATACTTTCGAGATTTCCAGCGAGTGAAAGGTGTCCTCGATGAACGATGTTTTTCACAAAAGCGAAACGACGGTAAGGGTTTCTGATACTTTACACCAATGAATAAATAGCGAAAAGGTATGATTTGTAGGTGGATGAAAATATGAAGTATGATTTATATGTAGATGACTTAGGATTCGATTGTATGTGAACGAGAAATAATTTTTCATGTGATTTGCATGTAGATGGCGAAATAATGAAGCCTATGGCTTGTATGTGGATGGCTTGTATGTGGATGATGAAATTATGTTTCATCCAATTTGTACGTGAATCGTGAAATGCTTCATCTAATCAGGAATTTTCACATGGATGGCAAAAATTATCCATGAATGAATGAAAGTTAAAGGATACTGGGTCTCGGTTGAAGAAAAGCAGTGTTGAAAGTTTTAAATCGTGTTCATATTTACTGCCATGCAGATCTGCTTTTGAGAACTGTTTGGTATTTGCGAGAAAATCAAAGCAGATTAGAACTTCTAATGTGAGGCCTCATTTTAAAACATGTGGTTATTGAAAAATGAGCAATGGGCAATGAACTTTTGCTCATGTTTGAATTTTCTTCAAGCTTCTTCTTTAAGAATAACATGTAAATTCAACTGGCTGTCTAATAAAGTAGGCTGTTGTTTTCATTTCAATTTGTCGCTTTAATTGCTTGATGTTAAATATTATGGCGAGGATTTGGAACATTGCACCCTCTGTCGATTGAGAAACTTTTGATATGCTTTAATACGCGTGCTTCAAATTTCTCATTATCAAGGCTCTTTTTCTTTCAATTATATTAATATACAAAATTACAGAACTTTTGCTCGCAACAAAAATTCATTTGGAGTAGACAGTATACTCAGTAGAATTTAGGGAAAAGTATTGTCTTGGAAATGTCATTAAGATAAATTTCTACGAATGTAACTAAGAGACAACAAATTTCAGACAGAGAATTAGCACAATTTCAGACAAGATTTTTTTGCATTGAATAAGTATCAATGAATGCATATGAATATGCAATGAATATTATCCGTAGATTCATTTTTAATTAAACGTAAGACATGTGCTCAAAACAATATAGTGAATTTGAAATCTTTTTTATCTTTTCAAAAGATTTATATTGACCCTGATAATTATTAGCTGAATTCAAATCTTTATGAATTTCATGCAGCAATCTTATATATGAACTGTCGTATATGCCACTAATTCTTGGGGGAGAGGGAGGGGGGTGATTGCCTGAAAGCCCTTGTAAAGTCTTTTAAAGAGTTTTCACCAGCTGAAATCTTATTCAAAATGCTCTGCTCTACATGTAAAAGTTGATTCTGATATTTATAAGGTGAAACAAACGCTGGCAATATGCTAATGAATTATCTTTCTTGTTTTGAATAACTTGAAATTTTTTGCAAATAGGAAAATCTTGAAAGTGCAGAAAAATTATTCATTTGCGGATTTAAACTTATCCTGTCAAAATCTTTTCAAGGGAACGAAGCAAAACCTACCATAGAAGAAAAAGACGAAAGAAGTCTCTGGTAAGTTGTCAGTGAAATAATGTTTAAAGTAGTTGGTGAAAGCATGTAGCGAGAGATGAAAAAATAAGGGGTCTTGAGTTGAGAGTTGAGAAAGCAAGCATTCGATCAACTATCAGAAAAGGGACATACCAGAAGCAATGCCAGCCAACCCGGAGAAAGAAGCAGAAATACCCGAGACACGGCCTCTCTATATTACCGAAGCAGCCCCCTTTTCGTAACATTTCATTGCCACACCCACATGCATGTGCTCAAGCCCACATGCATGTGGAAGCCAATTACCACGAACTCGCTGTAATTACCATGAACTCGTTGGAAGCCAATTACCACGAATTGTAAACATGAAATTAAAAATTGTGCACAAATTGCCTTTCCTTGAAAACCGACACACACTCAGCGGATGATATTTTATAAGAAGCTCAAAGATGCATGAATGAGATACGTAGAAGACGTCATTACAAACAAATATTCTTGTGCCAGGCCCAGTAAGTATCTAAACGAATTTATGTGTATGATGCCATTAATCAGATTAGGTTTCTCGTGCATATTACTGACATTGTCATAATTCCCTTCTAGTCAATCCTTGCGTGCGATGGTGGTAGCATCTTCAGGGTAAGTTCTGCTAAAAATGAATTTTTAAGACGCCTAATCTTTTAAACATTATCCATTCAACGAAAGAATGTACTTTGACACAGTAAGCTGAGATTTCAAAACCATTTTAATGCTACTTTGTGAATTTATTAAGAACGGAGAGTAAAGATCACAAGGAATTTTAAGACTAAAGGAAAAGCTAATCTTACCATTCACATTAAAAACAGCGTTGTTGTCTTCTAAAACAAATAAACTGCCCCGGATAATGCAAGGCGAGGTGATGCACGACACGATTTTGTTGAGGTTAATTCAAGATCTGAACCTCAATCCACGGGTAGAATGTCAAATAAAGAATATTTACTGAATAAAATCATGAAGCACTGTCTTCGCAAAACAGCATTCTGAAAAATAGGTACCAGAGAGTTATGATTAGCAGTCACTTTTAACCTACAATACTGTAAAATGGATGTTTAAATTGAGAGAGATACTCGGAAGACTGAAACTTTGAAGAATGACGATTTCTGCGAGCGGTTATACTTTTCTTTCCATTTCCATCATGTAACAATTCAAGGCTAAACCTTAATCAAACTGCTAACATAATCAACGACGGTTCTCCGCGAACTCTAATACTCATAACAATATCCCAAAATAGATAACAACTAATGAGGCACAGCGCAGTCTCTCTCAAGCACTGCCTGTCCTAAATACAAACTGGGCCGCAAGAGCTTTCGCAAGCCTCTTTGGCGAAACGGTTAGCTACCTCCTGGTGTTTAGCCTTACATGTCTAATACCTTCTAAAGCTCTCTTCGAATCTCTCCGAATCTCACTTACTACGTATATTTATATGTACAATGAAATTACCAGAAAAGCGTGACTAAGCATAAAATGTTTCTAATAATAGACTACGAGATAATTCTGGAAACAGACGAATACGCAAAATGATGTAATCCTAATGAAGAGTAATCCAACAACAATATAATTGAATGCAGTGTAATGTGCTGTGTAGGTGCAGTGCTGTGTAAGCGCAGACAGAACATTCGAGACACAAGGGGGATTTCCTAACAATCTACGTAATAAACGAAATAGCTACGTACACTGCTGGCATTGTTTAAGCTCTATTACAATACATGCAAACGTGTCTTGAAGCACCCAGCAATTCACGTTTTGCAATGTGTTTCCTTTCCTTTTCCAAGCATTGTTTCTTCCTAACCTTTAACTCCAAGAACAATGTTTATGGGCTAGGATAATATCATATACCTCACACTAGAAAACCTATTTTCTAATACTCGGGGGAAAGGGGGTTAAAATTAACATCAATGTTCCTAGACCTCCGGAAGGGATTCCCTTTGTTGCACAAACATCTATTCTGGGTCCCTTCCTCTTTAATATATGCGCAATGATTTGTTACGCTCCATAAATGATACATAGACTTGCAAAATATGCATGCAAAGAGTATCTAAATAATGTAATTGCAAGGCCAACTCATTCCAAGACAATTATTCAATGGTTCTCAGATAATTTTATAAAATAAAATTCAGATATGGTTGCAAAAAACTAATCAGCTGATTGCAGTTACTGTAGGCGATTATCTTGGCTGTTAGCCGTTGTGACCGATGAATGTCTCAGTTATAAGAACATAATAAATTACGACTTAGGATTTTCAAATTACGCGCATGTTTAGGTATATGGACAATATTAAACTTAGAATCTTGCCGGATAACGTATTGAATAAACAAGTGTCTAATCCTCTGGTTAAATGAAACTGAGCAGAGAAATAACTAACTCCTTTTCAGTGGTGCAATGCTTAAAGGATCGGTCCTTTTCTGGTGCAGCACCACCTCTACCGCCCCTACCGCCCCTAACACACCTACCGCCAATACCATACCTACCGCACCTACCATACCTACCGCCCCCTACCGCCCCTACCACCCCTGCCGCCCCTACCATATCTACTGCCCCTACCACAGCTACTGCCCACACCACCCCTACCACACCTACCGCCTCCACCGCCCCTTCCTCATATTCAAAGTAGTTAATGTTTCCCCAACATAATTAGGGTTGTAGCAAATAAGAAACACCGCAAAACGCCGAGAATAAACAACAATAAATACACGAAAATCAGTGAAGGCTAATATTTTGCCCCGGCATACGGGGCTTCATCAGAGGAAAGAATAATTAGGGTTGTCTGTCAATGAGTTAAAAAGGAAATAAATGACAAAATGGGTGTGGTGAAGCTAATCATAAGCAAAAATAGATACACCGTAAATCCTCCAATAAGCCCCCGGGTGCTTACTTGTAAAAAATGATTTTTTAAGGTGGGGGCTTATTCGATGGGGGGGGGCCTTTTTCGAGCGTGGAGGCTTATTCGAGGATTTACGGTATTGTGCAAGCAACCTCAAATTGTTCCGCATTCTGATCCACCTCCCCTTTTGTTTATTTGTTCCGCATTCTAATCCACCTTGCCAAAGTTAGATAAAGCAAAGAAAATAGACGTTTTTAGGCTTATAATGAATCCCAGAAAGCATGTTTATTGGTGAGTTGCCTTCATGCTTGATGTCAATGCAATGTCAAGAAATTTTGAGAGTTTTTCACAAAATTTTTAAGAGTTTTCACTGAGGCAGCCGGGCCCTTGGGGAATATTCCATGAGTTATCGTTCAGGCTTAGGGGCCTGTTATACAACTTGTTTTGTCTGTCGTTCATCGTGTTTGTGGTTCGTTATCGTTAACGAGGATGTCTTTCGATGTTTGCGTCAGTCCATTTTGTTTGTCATCGTGCCATCGTTATTTTGTAATTGTAGGTTGCTGCTAATTATACGATCGCTATTGAAGAATCTTGGTTTTTTAAAAACGTTATTGCGAACTGGAGTCTGATTTATCAGCTTTACCTGTCCTGTAAAATACGTTATTTTACAGGCCCTGTACTCAATTACACTCTTTTTTTATAAGAACCAGTAAATTTAAGTTCAGGCTGACTGTTCATAATTTTTTCGAAAATCTGAGGCTACATTGTTCTTAATTTGTTCTTAAATTAAGAGAGTGTAAGCAGTGTTATTGCTAGCTTTTTCGCTCTAAGGAGGTGTTCAGGCCTCATTTGCCAAAATAAGTAAGTGAGACAGCCTTAATTTGCTGACAAATTTTAATATTCACCGAAAAAGCACCCACATATCGCTAAAAATGCTCGATTTTGAGAAAAAACGTTGTTCAAAACTGCATTTTGCAGAAGCTCAGCGTCAGCTTGTTCTTAATTTGTTCTTAACTTTTGACCAGTTTTGAGACTCGTGTTCTTATAAAATTGTTCTTACAAAAAAAAGAGTGTGTCACATAAAAAACCAACATTAAAGAAATATGCTGAAGCCCCTAAAGATGCGGGGCCTTTTCTTTGAACACTAAAGGTAGCTTTGATCCGTTACGCCACTGGTTTTCATAAACCACAAGTATTCGACAGTTAAACATCAAAATGACATCCCTTAATTGTCTCAAAGTATATCTTTAGAAACAGGGATTTTTATCATTTCTCAGAAACAATCCCGCCAAATTCCGCTTCACTCAGCATCGAAGCTTCTCATGACTGAAGTTTCTCAATCATTAGACTTGTTATAGAAACGAAAACTTCTTTCTTTGAGAAAAGCGTAAAAGAATTATGAGAAAACCAAAGCAAAAGAAAAGGTCAAAAATTATGATGAACTATTTGTCTTTTTCAAGGGTTGCCTCCTAGGGAAGAGTGGTCCTGTCCTCGTGGGCGATGTGTATGCTCTTTTCTCGCTGTCTCAAACGCTTGCTTTCAAAATGTTTTCATTTTTTTTAAAACCTTTTTATCAATGGCATATTTTCCACTTTGAAAAAATTCTAAGGAATAATAACCAAAAATTCTATAAAAGGAAACTCTGTATGCTAATAATTACAGCATATAATTTCAACTTATTGGTTGTGAGTTTACGCTTACAGAACAAATATTCGACGACAGTAAATCATTTGAAAATTCTGAAAAATTTAATATTCAAAAATGTTTGTTGACCGATTAGGTAAAATCGGAAAATCTATACTTCATACTCAAGGATCAGGGGCGAACACAAGTCCAATATCATATTTCCAGAGTAGAAGTGAAGTGAAATTATGAGAGAGAAGGCACACTTTCCTTTATACAAGAATGGAAATTCAAGAATTAATTTTAACAGTAATTACAAGGCTCAAATTTTGTCGACAATTTGACGCTATTTGAATGTTTTGAGCAAACTAGAGTGCCGTGACTTCCAGGTAAAAGCTTTGAGCAACACACATGTTGTATTGTGTTAAGACGTTTCTTTTTTTAAATGTTTTCAAGACGACAGTAGCAAAGATTTGAACTTTCCTTCACAACTTTCAAGTTTACATATTGTGTCGTTCGAGAAAGAATCATAACTTTTTAAGATATTGAGGCTCAGCGAAACTCAGGTGTACTTATAAAAAGACGTGTAAATTGCATCTTTCAGCGAGTCTTAAACACACGTTGTCAGCGAAAAAACGACCTAGCAGGCCTGATAAAAGAGGAAGTATTCTGTGGTCTCATCAGCCCACTTGAAGCCTCTATAGTGCTTCTAAGAATGCGGAGTTTGAGTGACAGCGGTTGACAAATAACAATGTAGGTTGACAAGCTATTGATGCATGACAACGACAACGATTTAAATACAGCTCACATCCGCTCAGCGAGGTTATATTACAAACGCTATCTGCAACCAAAGTGGTTAGGAATTAGAGAAATTAGAGAAAAGAGCACAACCAATTTTGTAGAGTCACTGTATCAAACATCCATACACTAGACGACGAAACTGTTTGTGATTTACGCAGGACAAGCATTCAAAAGACAAAATTTTCAGCCGCGGGCGAAAGGCATAAAGGACTCAGCCTCCCAGTAAGCCTATAGAAGTCGAGTTATTAGCCTACCCTTCGATCGACAGACGTCATATGGGAAGATTTCGTCTTCCCAAACTCGGATTTATTGCGAAGAAGAGGAAGTCGCGCTCCGTAGACCTGCCTGCCGATGATTCCAGCCTTGAATTCGAGCGAATAAGAGAGCGGGCGATACGACGATGGCAGACGTATACCCCAGGCTGCACGACTGTAAGTTGAGTTCATAGAAGGTACCAAATCGACCACTGATTATTATGTTACAAGGGTTTGCCAACATTTGGCTTTGATGAAATTCGATCCACCCCTAAAAAAAGATGATTCATTTGCACGTTGGTTCAACAACCTGCAGTGATTTGAATTGCTGTGAAATCATTTATCAACGGTGGTGGCGCCAGAAGTGCTACGATGCTAGGATTTAGCTTTCTCAAACTACCCCAATATAAATATTCCCCCCATCTTGCATTCTTCCCCTACCTAGCCGTCCCCTGGCACCACCCCAGTCATATCTTTTTTGTGATGCACTGTTTATAACAGAAGTAAGGTAAAGCATGATTTCTAATGTTCTTTCTTATCCCAGTGGCATATGCTGGCGGTTGCATTTCGATCGTTGCATGAACCTGCCAAATCTTACTGATTCTTCCACTTTTGCTTTTATAAATAATTCAGCCTTGCCATATTGGAAACAAACAATTGATTGATTAGTCGAGATCTTACATGTCGTTGATTTTCTCGAAAGAAAAGCTTTTGATTACTTTAAACAAGGTACCTAGAATCGGCCAAGATTCAGAACTTGTAAATGTTGGAAAACGATTGAAAGTTTTTTAGTTTAAGTTTGTTTGTAAAAATGTCCCTTGCTTGTAAAAGCGGAAGCTTTTGATGCTGACATCGGCGGGTGGCAACGGCGTAACAACAATAAATGTTGATTTACATCAGATGAAGTTGTAAATACACATGCATCTTGTTAAAAATGATATTGTCAATTATTTGAACAGCAAGCATGTTAACTGATTCCCAAGTAATCGCATCACTACTGGCCTGCCCGACCCTTAATTTCATCATAGTTTCATCGTTTTTTCGAAGGTGTTGTGTAGGGACTGGGGTTTTCATTTTTATATCCATTTTCATCTCCCTCCTTCTTACTCTAGCTTTCTGAAGAATCATAGGGCTCACAGAGAATGTTACATCCTTATACAGGTCCGCCGAGAGGGGGGCAAGGGGCCCAGGGCCTCGAGGTCAAAGGGGCCTTAAAAAGTAATGAATATCCATTTTTAGAATGGAATCAATCAAAAGTAGCAAAGTATGCATTAAAATAGTAAAACATGTTAAACAATTGCAAGAAAAAGGCTGCAAGAAATGTTCTGAAATGCTTTTTAAGCTAATCTGGAGGGCATGGCCGTAATGTTTTCTGCTCGCTCCGCTCGCAGGGTTCGCATCTTTTGGTTTTGCTCAGGGCCTCCAAAACCTCTCAGCGGCCCTGTCCGTTAATGCTTCCAGATAACATCCCTATCATCGCCCAAGTTCGCGGGGATATTCAGTATATAACAGGCTGGAAGCGCCGAAACTTTACTCGCATTTTTTTAAAATGCATAACGTAGAAATGGTTTTGTTTACATCCGCAGTTTTGACCAGTATGGAGTAATAAATACGTCATTTTCGAAGTACCCAGCCACCACCTGAACAATATGGAGAATGACAACAATGCTGTTGGTTTTGCTCATAATACGTAACCAGCCGAAGTAAACAATTAGTATTCTACCTTTCCGTGCAGTTCAGCATAACATATTGATTTGCGTGTCGCTTAAGGTTATATTGCGTGGATAACGAAATTGCATCAATAGAATGTCAAATTGCGTCAAAAGGATTTCGTAATAAGGCTAATTTTCTTCGTTTAGAGAACCTTACGTCATTGCTACAGAATGAGAATAGTTCATTGTGGTGGAAATTGATTCTGGGGGCAGGGGGGGGGGGTAGAGGGTAGCCCAGGCCCGTGATTTCTTGGCAAGAAAACAGTTATAACCGGGGGTTAGTTCACTATTGCAAATAGCGTACGAAATTTTCCCAAAAGCAAAAGGATTTCCAGGGATTTTCAGATAAAACAATAGGATTTTTACCAGGATGTACGAGATTTTCATCAGGTGATTTGCCCCTTGGTTATAACAGGATTCAATTGTTATCATTCTTGACTTGGGGAAGCAGTAAGACTAAAATAAACTTGTTTATCGATTTTTTTGCAAATGTTAGAGTATAGAGTGGTAATGTAATATTTGTTTAAAATTTTTGAATTTTGATCACATGAACAGAAAAAGCAGGGTAAAATTAAGAATTCTGTCCTAAATCTACTGAATCCAGGTAAAGATTTACCGAGATATGGTCAGTGAAAGACATTTGACAATCACAAGACAAACGAAGAGATTTGCTAACGGATTACTGTTGTTTTGGCCTGGCTTATAATGTCAGCCAAGACAAAATCACAATCGTTTAAAGGGGAAAGACTCCGTACTATTGTGGTCATATATCAGGCAATTCCTAGCAGTTCTAAGTTCGCACAGGTCTTTTTGTTCTTCTTGCAGTGTATGGGGTGAAAAGAATGACTTTCCATAAGTAGGTTTTAGTGACTCATCATTTTGCACATCTATTATTGAAAAACGTTAACGAACAAGTTTTTGGGCCCCAACACTAATGATTTCTGCTGAAGGACAATTCACTCGCCTATACCTACGAGATTGCCACGAAAACAAAAGGATTTTTAGAGATTTCCAGATAAAAAAAGGATTCACACAAAAGGTGTACGAGATTTTCACGGAGTAATTTGCCCCTTGATTTCTGCCACTACACTCTAGCCTTGTCAGAAATCCTTAAATGTACATGGAAGCAAAAACAGTCAACCACCAAGCTTCGATGCTCTTTTAATACAGCTGTCGGTAACAACTAGACTATTCTCCAAATAACTTTCCACAGCTGTTATGAAGTAAAAGTTACTCTCTTAATGTTCGAGGGTAGTTCAAGAATTTTTAATACTCTTTAATTGAATGCTTATGCATGGGTTGTTTATTTTGACCTGACTCGATGTATGTCAGAGGCACAGAGAAGTTCAATGTGATGACTGCGTAAGCTTGAAACTTGGAGTAACATATCTTCTTTGGACTTTCTACTGCGAAAATTCACCAAATTGTTTACGTTTGTTTATTTGTTCGTGGGCAATGTTAGAAAAGATAGATGGAATGGTATTTGCTTGCACAAAAGAAGCTTTGAGATGGAAGACAATATGCGAAATTCGATTTCTGGCGACTTCTAAAGGCCTGCATACCATTCATTATTGCATCATGCCTTGCGTCTTTCAAAACTATAATCTCAACAGTTACTTGGATTTTCTGTTTAATTTTGTGAAGAAGCTTTCGCAAAGTCTTTTAAATAGAAAGAAGGATATAGATAACAAACAGATTGGAGAGATATCCGAATTAAAAGTAAAGAAAACAGGTATTTCTGCCAACGTAGGCTTTTTCATGCGTAGCCTGCGCGCAGACTCCAAGTATCTTTCCAGGAGAACAGTTCTGGTAAGATACTTGGAGTCTGCGCGTAGGCTACTTCATGCATTGACCTATAATCGCACTGGAATCAGTGACAGCGCCAGCTACTGCATAGTGGGAGGACAATGGGCAAGACCACGCCCATTTTGCCTCGTTTCAGTGCTTTGTACAAGGCAAATTTTCCCTAGGAAATAGGATCTACACCTACCGAGCCTTTTTATCCGTTTTTAGAAGAAATGTGTAGACCATGTTTTAAAAAAGTGAGGGGTAATTACCCCCCATACCCCCTTGGCTGGAATCCGCCACTGACTGGATTCGGATTTTTTTTTTACCATGGGCAGGGATCAGAGAGTATTGATATGAAGATAAAGAAAAAGTAAACCTTTTTAAAAAAAATTGAAATAAGGATTACCATTCACTAAAGGCTCTGCATAAGTTCTTTAAACAAATTTACCACCGGAGTCCTCGTTTCATTTTATTTATTGTTTTTGTAAGTCATAAGCATTTGTAATCATAACAGGCACACCAAAGCCGGAGGGCTGGGGGAGCTTTAGCCCCCTCAACTTTTTTCTGAAGTATGATATTATTGATGTTGTGGCATCAAAAATAATGGTCGAAAGATTACCATAAAATATTGCCAATTTGTCTAGTACCATAACAAAGCAAAAATTATGCATTAACAATAATTGGTTGCTAGGCGCATGCAACTTCGCAGCTTTCCACAACAGCTTCTAAGAAACCTGATAGTGGTCCACCATAAGAATGCGGTGCAACGGGGAAATCCATTCTAAACAGTCTGAGAGCATCTGGGTCCAACTTTAGTGCATTGTGACGTCATATAATGATCTGCTCCTTCAAAGTTTTAATTGTTGCTCTGAACACTGAACGTGTTACTTTTTGAGGCAGTAGTAATTGTTCTATGATAAGAACGCTATTTGATAAGCCTGCGAAAAGCCATGTTATGGTGTATCATCGTAAGAGCTGAATTCTCTATTTTGCACGGCACCTTGCCAGATCAAAAGGAATGTTATCGACTAGAAGGGATATTTGCAATGAAGAGCTCACTTTCGCCATTTTATCTCTTCGAGATTAAACAATGAACTTTCAGTGAAGATATGAAATGACGACAAATGCTATTTCTCGATTGGGATTGTGAAATAACCAACTGATTAAGTATTTTGTGTGATTATGGTATCGCTTTTGCTTGCCATTTGCACTGGTTCTTTTTGCTTTCTGTCGCCACGTGGTATGTCATGTGGTATATCATCTGTGGTATGTATTGTCAAAAAGAAATTCAAAATAGGTGAAAGTCGATCTTGCACAAAACTGAAGGATTTTTAGGCCTCCTTGTTAGGCAAATTTGTAGAAGAGCGGGGAATATACGGTAGAATCCGTTTATTGAGTGTCCGGTAGTTCGATTTTTGTCTAATTCGAGTAGAATATAATTCCTTTTAGGCCAATTTTGATAGCAAAACGTTTTTATATCACGAAAAACCTTTTGCTTGCACTCGAGGGCTCAAATCATTGTATGTTGCTTGACCAGGCCGAGTTTCAAAAACATCGAGATATTTCATTTGACGTAAAATCGTTTTTACGACTTTGCTATCAAAAGATGTGCGGCATCTGTGTAAGACGCTTATATCGTCTACACAATTCACCTCACTGGTTCTCACAGATATGAATGTGTTGAGAGTAAGTTGATCGTTTGAAGAGCTAGCGAATCGTAACTTAGCGAATTGCAAATTGGCGAGAAGGACGCTCTCTGTACAAAAACTTAGCAAGTTGTAAATTGGCGAAAGAGAGCATTCTGTGTAGAAAATTTGCGCTTTTCAGGTTGGTGAAATGACGTTTTCTGCGTCAAAATTTAGCAGACTGTATATTGGCGAAAGGGAGCGTTCTGTATAAAAATTTTGAGCTTTGCGAGTTGGCGAAATGGCGTTTTCTGTATCAAAATCGGCGAGTGTTGAGTTAGCAAAAAGAAAGCTCATTTGGTCATGATCGCTGGACATTCGGTGAACGTACAGTAAGATCTGGCATGGAATTGTCCAGTATCTGTTTGTTTACACGCGTTGTGGTGCAATAATTTCATGCTACATCATAACTCAGTCGTCAGTCTTAGTTTCACCGTAGCATATATCATATGGCTTTTACCTTCTTCATTTTCATTTCAGGTGCTGGTGTCCGGTCGCAGCCCAATAGAAGAGTTCCATCGACTATTTCCTTCCCTTCCCTCAGAAGAATTCCCTCTTAATGGTAAGAATTCCCTTATAATGTATTTTAATAATGTGTTACATCAGAATACCCGACACTTATTAACTGTATCTAGCTAAGCAATTTTTAGTCTTAGTTATGCATTGAAGGCCTACCTGTCAGACATATATGAGGTCAGAATTACTGTCTGTTCTAAACTCTAGGCCGGTGATTAAAAGCATTGAGGGTATACCCAAATACGCAGAGTCATGATTTTCGTGCTGCAATGCTATTGGTGGGCCTGAAACTGATCACATGAAGTAAATTGTCAGCAACGGATGCTGATATCACATGAAACTTCACCAACCCCCCCATAGAGAAGGCCTATTTACCACGACTCAATGTCTTTAATAGACAACAATATACGAGATATATGTTTTATTTCATATTCAAACTCGTGTGTGTAAACTAAAACTCATAAATCTAACCCTCAACCATAATTTACTTAGCAACAACCTAGCAGCTAGCCCCTGAGGTCAAATGCCGAAACCGAAGGGATTTATCAAGTGTACGACAACACATGGCTGAAAGGAAAAAGACTGGGCACTACCCTATTCCCAGGACTCCATCGTTTAAACACTTTCCCTTGTAGGGAGCTTTCTGTTGTATGGTGGTTATTTGCACAAGACATTGTAGGCATGACATAAATTTAAGCAAATGAATTTGTTACTTGTTTGGAAGGGGGTGTCTGTTGTTTGAAGTGTCCGTTTCAAGAGGTTTTGCTATAGATGCACTGCAACGTACATAGATAAATAGAAATGAATCAGTGCTAAGTGGCGTATACAAGACAGGTCTTGTACTAAGGAGTCACCTTAAGCCCTAATTTTTGGTTTAGTATTTAAATGTTTGAGTGTCAAATTCCTTATTAAAGAGGCGTGGATGAACAATAGGTCTGGTACAGGGACTCAATGGCGTGTTATTATAAAGAGTTTAAACCTGAATTTGAACATAGTAGGAACAATTTAGAGGTAGCGAGGTATCTCTTTCATGTATAGTTTGACAAAAAATGAGCTAGTGTTAGTTTAGTCTTTGATATGCCGTTTCTGGAACTAGAATTATTTCACAAATATTATTCTTTAATCAATAGTTCTTTAATCAAACAGCCACCTCTCCAGAATCTTCCTTCATATTTGTAGCAAAGATGCTTAAATTAACCACACATTGCAATTCGTACAAGATTTTGATGATTTTGACCGCTGCAATTTGTCAGATTTGATTGAAATACCATTTACGGTTGAATGCGGCATTACTCAGGTTTGAATTATTCATAGTGGTCAGCATCGCTGCAATTAATGGGTAAAAGCACTCGCAATTTTTATACTTAATCGGTTTTCTGAAGTCAATTTCTGATACTCTTCTTCTAATAATACGCTAATGAGACCCGAGGCAATTTTCATTCAACACCCAGCTGCCATTTTGATCCAGCCTCGATAATTCCTTAATTTACGGAACTGATATTTAAGCACACGATTTGGTTAGCCAACCATGCCACTTGCTTTCCCCTTCAGATGTGCTCCTTTCAGACGTGCGCTCTATAGATATGCCGTTTTTAGAACACTCAGTTTTAAAGAAGATATTCTTATCGAGTTCCCCCGTCACCACACCTCGTGATTCCTATGTTTGGAATAACAGAACCTTGCGACTCCCCCCTCTTCAAGATAAAGTTTGGTCATGACAGGGACTCTAACCAAAGGACGTGGAATCGATAGTTCGCGACTCTTACTACTGAGCCATCCTCATCCCATACCTTATTTTACACATTGTAATCAAAGGTCTTTTTCCTAGTCAGAAAATAAGTTATCTTGATTACCCCCCCCCCCCTCCCACCCTTCAGCTTAATAGTCTATAAAGGCCACTGACTGTAGTATAGAGCTCATATTTTCTTCACAAATGTTTCAATTAAGCCTGGATGTGTTCTTTTTTTCAGTTTACACATGCGCACTAAGCAAGGATATCTTGCTCCAAGGAAAGATGTTTGTGTCACAAAATTGGATTTGTTTCTATTCAAACATCTTTGGTTATGAGACGAAGGTGTGCTTTTTTGCTTTCTCTTGACATCAGAATAAATGAATTTAAAAGACAAATATTATATGCTATGTTTACGCTTTGATATTGTTCCGCGGATCATCAAACCTGTTTTGGAAAATACAGCACACTTGTTATACAATAGCACCCGTACTACAAGTGTTGATAGAAATAAGCAAGGCAAGTACTAAGAATATTTGAGCGTGCTTCTATATTGATTTCACGGTCCGAAAACTTTGTTTTGGGAAGTATAGTATTCCTTTCCGCAATAACATCCAAAATACGATAAAATAAACAAGTAAAAAACAAACACCATGTTTCAATGCCTTACTTGATATGAACTCCAGCTCAGTACTCCAGATCTTTCTAAACGAGCGTTGTTTCCTAGAAAAGATAAATTTGTTTTATTCAGAAACATATGAATATCTGGAAATCTCATTTAATCTTTTCTTAAGATTTTGCAATAAATCATGAATTCATTATGTTGTGATTTATACAGTTTCCCTTTTAATAAATATTTGTCTGTCTCTTTGTAAACAGGTGAAGATAGATGTATAGAACAGGGCGGTTTTAAGCTGCTACTCCGAGTTTCACGCTTAATGCGGTAATCAAGCAACTGTTATCGTTAAGCATGAATCTCGGAGCAGCAACATAGAACCGTCCTGTTCTATACACCAAATAGCGTGCACAGCTCTGCTTATACTGCATCGACCGACCGGTAAACATGAATTTTCATTTCAGGTGAAGATAGAGATGGACAGAGTTGTTGCCATCAAAAGAGAAAAAACAGCGTTTGTTGTTCCGAATGCAATTTCAGTGCAAACACCAAACAAAAGAGTATGGCCTATTTCCTTTTCTTACAACGTCTTCTTGCACGAATGATTTTATCTCCTTTATGTACTTCTAGTGTATTATGAAGTACCGATGAGACTGCTTATTTTAGAGACGCCGATCCGAAGTAAAAAATCTCTCATCATTTTAACGTCCAATTTAGGCCCCAATCTTGCCAAATCTATTTTATTGAATTAATTCCTGTTAATTGAGGCAAAATAGCCAATTACTTCACTGCAGTACTGATGGTTGCAGTTTTGAACCAAGCTCTACTTATAATTTGGAGCTCGCCCCCAGTTCACCCAATGGAAAATTGGCTGTCCAATGCGATGCACATGAGATGGAACTAGCCACCCTACCTTATGATGTTGTTGTCCTAAAACAGCTGTTTCACTAGCTTGTTTGGCCTCTACGTAGTATGTGGGGCTCGCCTAAGCTCGTAAATCGAAGTTTCAAGTCGAATATTGTCGTCTGAATTCCCAGTCCTTTGATAAATTATATAACAATATTTCTAGAACGACGTTGTTTAAAAGACTTAATGTTCACTGGCGACTGATTGTCACAAAATGAGTACGTAAAACTCAAAATCAAGGGGTGCCATATATCTATAATACTTCGGAAGAATTGAATTGGATAAAATTGGAACAATATGTACAGACAAAAAGGAATGGTCATCAATGATAAATGATATATCGCACGGAGAAATGCGGGGTGGGAGGGGGGTTGTGTGCCCCCTGAAACCCCTTTTACGCACAGCCCCTTCTAGGTTGCATCTCTTTTTTCGCAAAGTTTCCTAATATTAGCGTGAATTACCAAAGAGTATATAACTTGGTCTTTATTCACATATATTTTTAACCTTTTTCCTTTGCTGCCAGTGCCATATTGATTGTCTTAAACATGACAGAGGGATCAAAATTCTCAAATAGCAAAAAGAATATTGCTTCCAGGCAGATTCTGACTTGGGATATTGAGGTCCCCATATGACCTGTTGACAGTATAGATTTACTTTAGACATGTCTCAAAAGACTTCGTGGTTCGATTGGCCCGTCACTATCGTATCAATATTTTGTCATGTGATTGGAATATCGGTCACTTGGTGGTGAAATTTAGCCAGGGGTATTATATGGTGCCACCAGTTAGAAGTCATTTTGCAATAGAATGATGTCAAGTAAATTCCGACCACATTTATTTATCACATCACCAGTTCAAACGTTCTGTGGCTTGCATTGGTTAATTATCAAAAAGCAATATAAATTGATTGCTATTTTCGTCGTTTGAGCCGCAGTATTTACAGCAACAATACGCTTGTGGTTCCATTCATTAACATGAAGAGGGCAATTATAGGTTTGGGGCATGCTTCAACCAAGTATGGGAACGAACGAACTTTTGTTATGCAACGGAAAAACCTTGAATCCTTGAGGCAACACCAACTCCACCTTCTCCAAAATTGTATTGTTGCTCCGTTTACGTCGCTCACTCTTGTTGTAAATTTTGGGGCTTGAGAATCTAGGAGGTTTTTAATAGAGGCAAATTCCAGGAATATTTTAATAGAGACAGATTTTAATAGGGACGTTTTTAATAGGGGCAGCTTTTTCACAATTCTCGTGCTCCTTTTATTTGCAACTTCGCTTAAAGGCACACTGTTAAATAGCAAACCAAAGTAAAAATAAAAGTAGAAAAATACATTTTAGTCAAAAATTGGTTTGTTAATTGACTTAGGCCGTTTCTTTGCACAAGCACGTTGTGTATTTTGTTGTTGTATCTCATCGAGGGTTCATAATGCGCCAAAGTTTTAATTAAGAGTGGGGGCTTGGTGCCTTTTTTACTTCAAGCTCGGGGGCTTTTTTGAAGGGGGGCTGTACAAGGTGTTCGTATTTGCTATTTAACTTCTGAAAGTAGTTATAGGGCACCGAGAAGCTATGTTTATCAAACAATGTCCTGGCTCTTCCTCTCAAAGTGACTACACCTCGTGCTTCCTACGCTTGGAAGAACAGGGAGCTGTCCATTCTTCTCACTCTGTGTGGAATTTTGATCTTGTCAGAGTCTCGAACCCCAATCTCTTGGATCTGTAGTCAGCGCCTCTAGCCACTGAGCTATCCTTGCACTTACTTCTACGGGGTGGGGGCCGATTCAGTGATTTACGGTATTCGTTTGCTCGAGATTATTTTATTTTGGTTTGCTAATATCTCAAGGCAAATTGCTTTTATTACTGCTGGAAAATAGTTCTTGAGAAGCAAGGTTTGAATGAACCGTAGTCACAATAAACGTATCAAAGTAGGGGAGATTTTTGGCCGGGGCAAGATTTGGAATAATCTCAAAGCAGTGCTATTGTGTCATCAGATCTTTATGTCACATCACGATGTCAAACTGATGACTACTCACAAACAACGTTATGAATGAAATTTTCATATCTATATCCACATTTTCTTCCAGTTTTTCTTCTGCTCATTCTTGTCCCGTGAGACTGTCTTCAGACTGCTGTCTAGAACCTGGAGAGCATCTTCAACAAATGAGGTATGTTTAAATTAGAAGCTCCTATAATGTAAAAGCTCTCTTTTGCCTACCTCTCTAATAAAGCTTCTTCTCCGTTAAGCTCCTTCTCTATTGAGCCACCTCTCTATTAAACCCTCTCTCTGTAAAACCCCCTCTCTGTTTAGCCCCCTTTCTGTTTAGCCCCCTCTCTGTTTAGCCCCCTCTCTGTTTAGCCCCCTCTCTGTTTAGCCCCCTCTCTGTTAAGCCCCTTCTCTGTTAAGTCAAGGTAGCAAAGTAATATTTACTGGCAAAAGGAGAGCGACGTTTATTTGTTTACCAGTTTGACAATTCGCCAGCGATACACCCTCAAATAGGAAAAAACGTCTCGTTTTTGAAATAGAACTTTTGCGAAAGGTGTGTATCAAATTATGCTGCCCAACTGAATATTACTTTCTCTATAAAGATTGTTTTATACAGCCTTTACTATACTAATTTACTATAGAATTTTACTATAGAATTTGTCTTCTCTTTCCTCAAACTTTGCTGACTGAACTATTTTCATTACAGCTGACCGATGGTAGGCCCAATAGCACAACAGGTTAGTGTAAAGTTTGCCCGTCTTGTTTATATTTGAATCTGATGCACGGTATTAGAGCTTTTTAACTTATTCAACGTACGACAGCCAGAAAATTTCAAGAAAGAAGAGGGCATGCCCCTCATCCTCGGTCACGGCGCCTCAGAAATGCTTTCAGACTTTTAGCAGTTATCAAGTACGTACCTACGTCTATAAAGTTAACACTTTCGTTAAGAATATTTTCATTTTAGTATCTTTGATTTTCTTTACCAGGTGAAATTCTTGATATCCAAGCAAGAGATTGCAACCAAAACGACTCAACAATCTCCATGTTTGATTCGAGCATGGATGAGCCGCGAGCCGTTTGCAGTGATATCGATGACATCAAACTGAAATCAAGGACGGAACCCGATGGTATTCTGTTCCCACAAACCGTTCACGTTCACAATTTACACCGCCTGAACGGCTACCACAGGGTCAGCATATCACTAAAGCCTGAAACGAGGATATCGCGCTGGAACACGGTATCGGATCTAAGAGAGGCTAAGGCCATGAAGCGAAAGAAGGGACGGTCATATTCGTCTAATGAGCGGATTGCACCACTAAAAAAGGGTATGTTTTTTGTTAATTACTTAGATTTTCAGCGAAATTATACGTGGCTTTTATGAATCTTCAACTGAATGATCTATTAGTTCTTTTTATAAAAAGAAACAATAGTCCATTGTGTACAACAGAAAGGGTTTCTGGGGCTTGTGGGGTAACCCCCTCTCCGTTGGCAGTATTGCCCTGAAATGATTCATCTTCAAACCTGTACTACACCTTTATGACAAGCCGAGGGACTATAATTGTCTGCAACGGTTGCTTCAAGCGGTCGTTTTTTTGTTTTATGTTTAAACATCTCCTGCCACGCATCTCAAAACACAAGAAAAATCCTTGATGAAAACCTCAGGGTTCAATTAATTCTTTCTGATGAAAATGACAGAATGTAAGGGCGAAAGTTACATCCAGCTTTAAAAAATGCCTGATGCTTATTCCTTTAGAATAATAGGCTGGTTATCAGGCTAGCCATGAGCAAAAAAGAAAGTGCCTTTCCGGATTTTAAAAAGTTGTATGCAAAATGTTCAGAATGATGTGCTGGTGCTATGTTTTTATCACCGATTCATGATTTTTGCAGAAAGCCTGAGCGAAGACTCCCGACCTCGGCTCACCTCGTCAGTGGTTCGATGGACACAAACGATTTGGGATAGTTGTAGTAACAAAATTAATTCTGTTTTCAGTAGGTGAGTATTCAGCGAAGTTTTGAGAAAATTGCAAAGTTTTCAGTGAATTATAAAATACTTTGAACTGTTGTGATTTCCTCTTAACAATGTGAATTTCTTACTTTGATTTCTAACCATTATTCTGTTTTTGGAATGTTTCTAGAAATTTTTTGTATGCTGGTTAAAATGATCATCATTTTCGATTAGTGAGTAATTTCCTTTTTGATTAAATCTTTCTCTTTCTTTTTGGATAAATTCAACTGATGAAATAACGTCAATTTTAAACTCTTTTTAGACCAAGAAATCTCTCTGTACTCTTTCATCTAATTTGCATTGCGTAAGTATTTGATTTGCAACTTTTCATTTTCTGAAAACATTGCAACTTCGAAAAAACAACATTTATTAGCCATCTATAATTTTAATGCACAAAATCTCACGAGCCTACATCTTAAAGTGAGAAGCACTTTAAATATCAAATTCTATCAACAACTAGTTCAACAATTTGAGAATGATAAGATCTCGTTTTGGTGTAGTAAGTTGGTTCCAGAAGTTTGCCAATGCCATCATTAAAGGCAAAATCTTCAACCACAAAATGCCAGTAATTGACGACTATCCTCATTTTAGAGGTACTGGGCTATCTTTAAAAATTTTAAAAAACTTCAGTACCACCCAAACAAAAAAATTAAGAAACCATTTGATTTTATAAAGCATTGGCAAAAAATGAGAAAGCTCGTTACATTTGTTTGCAAGAAATTTTAGTTTTTCGTTCAATCCTATTGTCACTAATGGAGGGAAAAAACTTTAAAACAAATTGTTTGTGGGTGTTCTAACGATTTTGGCAAGACACGAAAAGACGAGGACCTGAAAAAGTCGAGGTCCAAGATCAAATTCCGGAACCAAAGAACTGTTGAGTCCTACTTGCTTTGCAATCTCACAGCGTTACTAAAGTTTTGTAAAAGTTATTTTATTTAACATGAATGTTTAATTGGTTTTATCTTAGTCTCCATTACAGACCATACGAAATTTATCTTCGCTATATGCTTTGATCTACTGGAATGTGTACAAAGACCATTATGAAACTAATCTTTGTCGCTCGATTGATTATATCTTGGCTGTTGAACGAGGTCTGTGAAATCAATATGAATTATTTTCTTTCTACAGAATTATCATTCTTGGCGTTATGTCCATTTTCTTAATTTACAAGATAAACAGACTTAGCCAAGTATTTGTCGAGAGGGATCACGGCCTTCCTCAGTAAGTTTATCTTTCTTATCATATTTTAATAAAGATAATTGGTATATTTTCTCCTGGATAAAAAAAAATTAAGGATGAAACTTGACTCGTTTTATTGAGAAGGAAGTGTAAAGTTGTCAGGAAACCTTCTTCAAGGACGAGAGCACGTCTTTCCCCTGTGATAAAAAAATAACATTAATTTTGGACCATTCTGCATTCCTGTTGCAACATTTTGTAGCTTGTAAGGTGTGTAATCCTAAAGCTAGCTTTTGAAAACTTCCCACAAATCTTTGGCGGAGTAAGCTTTTTGGGGATGTCATGCCCCCATACCCCTTTGCCCAACAATTTTCACAAAGTTATTAGGTTTATCTTCTTACTTCTATATCTTTTTAAATTATTTGATCTAGTTGATACTTTATAAAGTGTCATTATGCTAGATTGTAGCTAAAGGCGTTTTTGGACACTGTTTTGCTTACACTGCGCTAAAAAAAATTTTTCCACACATTGCGTTTTTTACGTTATTAACAAGTCAATGGGCTCTAATAAGTCTTTCTCTATTGATCTAAAAGTTGTTCTTTGATGGGGGACAAAGATTCACCGAGCTTCCGAGATTTCATAGCTACCGATAAACTTCGAAGGTAAGAATTCTGCGTTCGTCTGTATTTGCAATGTTTTAAGATAGGCCTATAGTCCTCAAGAGATGACATTATCAAAATAATTTCCACCATTTGTAAAAAATCAAGCATTACTACTATGCAGCAATGTCTTTGACTCATTTATTATCAAATAACTCAAGTATTGTCTAAATTTAACTTTAGGAAACTTTTGTTTTGGTTTTAATCTACCTCGACTCTTAGAAACATTTCATTTGCCTAGAATGTTTGAATTCTTGTAAAAGGCAGACATCTCTTGCATATTTTGAAAACATTTGTAAATTTGCTAGATAGATATTGCTGAAGAAACCTACCTTCAGTTTGAGGGTTTCATAAACAACAAAACCAACTCAGTTTTCGCCATGTTGAAATTCAAACCTCGTGCGTTTGAAGTGCATGATGGGAAATATTGTTGCAAATTGGCTGTTTAGTTGAATGGTTTTATACCAGAGCAAAACATAAAGGAAGGAAGGGGGAGGGGGGCGCTAAAGTCATGTCCATTTCAAACTTTTCCACACTTTGAATCATCTATATTCAGCCACCGACTCTAAAGTAAGTGTGATTTTCAGATGCAGAAAATTTTATCCTAAATAGTTCGAACACCACAATATTCACAGACAAACGTTGATAATCCAAGTATTTAACTATCTCTCCAAGTCACCAACGCTGTTGCTAATTCTCCCCCCCCCCTCCCCCTCCGTACAATGTTGATTCATTCATTAGAAGTGTTTATGGGGAGGGGAAACAACTTTAAAAACTGTAAGCTGAGCTGCTTCCCAACGACGTACTAGCTAGAATGTTTTCTTTCGCCAGTGATTGTGCCATTGATTCGCAAAGGCAATATAGCTTTGTTAAACACTGATTGTTATTGATTTCAGAGTGAATACAGTTCTGGCAAGTAATTTACATGCTGTGCATGAGGTAAGAAAGTTACGTCATCAAGACAATGTTTGCTTTCTGAGGAGGTAATTCACTAAAACATTTCTTTTACAGTTAACGTTGTTAAACGATTCATCTAGTTCAATCGATAATTTTTGACAGGGTTAAGGTTTAAATATCAACTTCAATTGAATAAAGTGTTTCTCAACAGAGTTCGGCATTTAAGCATAGGGATTGATAATCGGAGATTAGCTTTGATCTTGCAGAATCAAAACAATTGTCGTCACAGAGAAACTTAGTTAAAGTTAAAATAAGACTGTTTAATAGTAATAGCAGCTTTGCTTTTTGGGAAGACAGAACAATCTGTCTAAATAATCTGATATAGTCTTAAAATTCAGATTTACTCAAGCAACTTTTAGTTAACTTGTGTATTTCCAAAGTTTTTCCAAGTAGTGATTATTTCGTTTCTTTCGAGTACAAAACCTACTGTAGCAATCCATTGCAATGTGTATTCAAAATGTACAGCAGTTTGGTTAAAAAAAGCACTCTCACAAAAGCAGCACACATTCAGTTACTCTGACCACTCTCTCAGCATAAACGTCTAAATATTACATTACTTTTAATTCAAGTTATAATAAAGCTCGTACCGTTTTTTAATTATTTGAAAAATCCTTTTGTTATTGTTTATCATTATGGGGGAGAATATCGTTGCACTGCCATTCTTACGACGCATTAAGGAGAGATCTTTTCGATAGTTTATATCCAACGTTGCAACCAATTATGGTTTGCTAAAACTTTCAAACGCTCTGTTACTTGAAATGATACTGTGATGAAAGGTTTTCCATTGATTCAAATGTCTTTAAAGCGATCTTAAGATACATAAATGTTTTGAATAAAATGATACTGTTCATACTTAGTTTCTGTTCAACCTGTACTGGAATTAAGCGTGTTTGTTGTAGATAGGTTACGTGTATTGTTTTGCTTTCCGTTTGTTTTTTGTTGTCCTCCAAACTATTGGGGCGACCCCCCTCCCCCCTCCCCTCACCCTTGCCTCACAGGTGTCTGCCACTAGTAATAAGGCAACTAGTAATATGTAATTGTAATTTATTATGATAAAATGAAAAAAGATTATTGTTGACTCATAACGACTTTGAAGCTGATAGAGTTGATGACGTTGCGTTCTTTTTATCTTCTAGGCTCAAGACGCTTTACGGAAACTCAAAGAAGACTTAAAGTGACGACTATTATGAATAATTTTAACAAAGTTCCCTGGTAAGGATGTGAATATGAAAACTTAGCTCGCTGAATTCAAACTATCAAAGATATCATTTCTGTAGTTGCTGTTGGGTTTTTAAAAATTTGTACAGATTTTTCGGCTGAATTAGCGTGTATCAAATGTAGTGTGCTGTGTTAAATTGTCAATTTTGAAGATTCTATAAGATAGAATGAAGCACAGAATTTTATTCTATTTAGTCTGTTGTTTAAGTGCATGCACAGAGTAGCCAGTTGTTTAGGTATCGGAGCTTTGTCTTCATTTAAGGTGCATGTTTTTATAAATAGGCCTTTATTTAAGAAAGTGCTAGTGTGTTTTAGCAAATGGTTTTACCCCTGTACATTTCGATACTTTGTACGGAATTTTTATTAGACATTTGTGTAGACAGAAAAATCGCGATCTGTTGATCGCTTTACGAACAATTTGGAGATACAGCTTAAAATGTTTGTGCCAGTCGGATGCAATAAAGGTTTATCAAACGCAAAATTCTAGCGTAGATGAGGCAGCTTAATACCTGATTCAAGGTATAGCCCCCGAACCCCTAGCACCCTGTCCAAGGGTTTTGTGGCATACGTTCCGTAGGGGGATTACCATTCTGACAAGGGGGTGTGCCCAATTTTTAGAAAATACAATGTTAATCTAAGTTAATCCAAATAAAGTTTGTTTATTTAACAAATCTTATGATGCAAAATAAAGAAATATTCTATGAGAGCACAGACGTGATTTTGATGAGAGCGCTATGCTTTACCCCTTTTTTACAACACCCTGGTCTGCATTTACAACACCCTTTCATTTCTAAACAGACACAAATATTAAAGGCAACCTACAGATATTGAAGGGGCTTAAGCCATCTTTCAATAAGAAATGGGCCAATCAGTTAGTGTGATACCACTCACACCCTCGCTGATTGGCTCATATTGATTGACTGATGGCTTAGGTCACTTTTAGGTCACGATTGCCTTTAAATTACAAATGAAAGCTTTTTTAATGATAGCAGCCGCTGGCGGCTGTTCAGTGTAGATCCCCTTTTTATGTCAGAAAACGTTGCCTCTCATCTCCCTTTCATTACAACCCTACCTGTGATCCATTCCATATTGCCTCTAATAAACGCCTTGTCTCAAATAATCGTCCCTCCTTTCCGCACAGAAAATTAATAAACGCCCAGGCGAAATACACCCACACAACTCATTCAACCTTATTCTTGAGGTTGAAATCACTCTTATTAGCATGCCCTCTTATTGATAATATAATTTGAGTCGATAACACGAAACACGTTTTTAAATGAATTAATTTTGGCTCGATAATACTTAATATGCAGCTTACGTTAGGATTTTTTACGCAATCGTATTTTAAAGCATTATTTTAGCACAAGCAAACAGCATTTTTAATCAAATCCCTCCATCGTTAGAAAACAGATGTTCACATCTTGATCTACGTTGCGTAATACATGATAACACCAAAACTTGTTAGGCATAACCGATAGCATTTACTAGAAAATCTTGTATGACTCGAGTGATGATTGACGACATGTCGTCGTTCCATTTAGCAGATTCAGAATTCTTCATCGCCTCCTCCCCGCATCGAGGCTCGCTATGCAGAGCACAGTTTATTACGTCCTGATTAGGACAGTATTCCTATTGGCTATTTCAACTCGGAATTATCTAGTTTCCATACTGCTCGACCTAATAGTCATAAATAAGCATGATTAATAGTCATAAATTAGTATGATTAATTATTTCAAGTAAAGGGTTAGGTTTAGGTTTAGGGTTAGGTTTAGGGTAAACTAAGTACGTCATCAGGTCGAGCAGTATGGAAACTAGACAGCTCCTTCCAACTCGCTCTTGACAGCAATAAATCAAATTTACATATATCATACCAACACACACCCTATTCCGTCAGTTTTTTACAGAAAAGACAGAGCGTTTTTTGAGGATAGGGACAATATGTAGGAAGGGCTTGGGAGGGTGCACAGCGACCTCGATGCTACGAGAAGGCTCGAAGAACTCAAATCGGAGTTCACCGTCGCCGAGTCTCCTCCAATTAGGATTCCATCCATATAAAACTGAAAAAACCGCTATTTGTAAACAGAAGGAGTTCGTTCTCAACCTTCGCAACATTTTCAATAGGCAAGGGGCACTGATTGGGCAACCTTAACAGTCATGTGCTCCCGTTTCTGATTGGCCTATTTCGATCCACCACTTAGTATATATATATTCCCTAGCTTAAGTTTAATCGACCATTACTTTGAAGTTTAATGCTTTGAATTGTGCCAGGCGAAAGGTTTTGTATGTTTTCAAATGTATACATTCTTTAAAGGCTTTTTTTAAAGATAATCACCACTGTGAAATCCAACAGGCCTATTACATTATCTTCTCAAGTATTTTCTATTTTCGAAATTTGCTGTTTGTTTCAAATGTAAGTTAGAATAATGAAGCACTTAGTACATTACACAAAATTAGATACATCACGCTCACCACAATTCTTAGAAATTATTTGTTTTAAATTACAAGAGCTGTTATAAATGTAATGATTTGATAGATATTGTATGGAATTAATGAACATGGAGTTTAAAAGGCTATCAGATGAATATAATATGAAATGTGCAAGATGCATATATTGTTTTTTTTCTTTTTTACCTTTGTATTCTTATTGGCTGCGAGCAGTCCGATCAGTCACTGCAATGTTGAATATGTTGATAATCATTGATGAATAAATATCGCTGAACATTGGCTTGATTATGTTGATGATTGCAAGTGAGATTTTACGATATCTTTGGTCTTGAAAAAGCGTTTGGTAAGGTGGAAAATACTTGGTCAAATAGAATTGGCCACGTCGCATTTGACTGGAGGCAAGCAGTTGTGCTTTATAAATGGTGTTAAGTCAGTGATTGAAGAATCAGTATGCTGCATCCCTCAAGGATGATGCTTTGGTCCCCTGCTTTTGCATACGTTCCTTTGTTGACTTTGAAGGTTCCTTAGATTCCCCCAAAAGAAATATGTATGAGGAAGATACCCACACAATAATAGCATTTAATAACATAATAAGCTCGTAAGGATGATGAAAAGAGTTGTCAAATATCAATGACTGGTAAAGGGTAAATAAACTATGTGCGATCACTTCTTGGTCACATACACAGTATAAATTCGATTGACTCTCATTTAATGATTGCGAAACAGCACATGTAGAGGGCGCCAATTCTTTAGATGTCATTATCGACAGAGAGCTAAAGTGGAAAGATAAATAGGATTCTTAGCTGGTGGTATATCATCTTTGAAAAACTCAAATCCCTAATCAAGATATTATATATCTACGGTGTCCTCTTTAGGAGTTGTATGGGGCAGCATTTTCTACGAAAAAGCTTGTTTGGGGCAGCATTTCCTCCTCTGAACTCCATTCACAACAACGTTCACAAAACAGAGCGCTAGCAATTCCTTGGATCGCAAGATTGAAGGATCCGCGGCCCGAACAGTGTTGAACAGAAGCGTTGGGAATGTAGTAAGTTGTGTATAAAGTATAAGTTTACATGTGTTTTGTGTATAAATAATATAAAATGAAATGAAAAAATGAAAGTCCCTTTGATCGCTCTGTTACAGCACGTAAGATTGCGATGTATGTTCCAAAATATATGAGAGCCACTTTGATACGTAACAGCACTACATCCTTGGTTTGAAATAACAATGTTCCTTACACTGTGATGATAAAAGCACTGTCAATCCGGTCACAAAAGTGTAAGAAATAAACAAACACCAATTTTCAAAGCAGTTCATTAGTAATTTACATATAATTCTGGATTGAAATACAGTAAAATGGAATTTAAAAAGTCAAGCTTCTTTGAAACAAACTATGCTTGCATTAGTTACACAAATTGTAGCTGACTTATTACAAATTGCTACCACCAAGACTTGCTACAAAATGCATTTATTTTTAAGGAAAGAAAAGCAATCTAACAGCATGGAAATATAATGGACGAAATTATATGAGCTTTGAATGCAAGACTTCGATGTAATATGTCAGAAATCGCTTTCCATGAAAAAGGGCCAACCCTTGCTAACTCGACTTGCTGCTTTAAGCGTTTTACTCAACCTCACAATTTGACAGATGGGCCACGAATAGGAATCCCATGGGCCACAGACAAGAATATTACTGGTCACAGAAAAAGAATATTATGGACTACAAATTAAAACCTCATTGGCCACAAATAAAAATATTGCAGGTCACAGATAGGAATCACCAGGCCATAAATAAGGGACCCACGGGTCAAAAATGAAAACCTAGCGGGCCACAAATAAAAACTTCATGGGCCATAAATAAAAACTTCATGGGCCACAAATAAAAACTTCACGGGCCACAAATAAAAATATTGCGGGTCACAGATAGGAATCACCAGGCCATAAATAAGGGACCCACGTGTCAAAAATAAAACCTAGCGGGCCACAAATAAAAACTTCATGGGCCATGAGAGCCACTTTGATACGTAACAGCACTACATCCTTGGTTTGAAATAACAATGTTCCTTACACTGTGATGATAAAAGCACTGTCAATCCGGTCACAAAAGTGTAAGAAATAAACAAACACCAATTTTCAAAGCAGTTCATTAGTAATTTACATATAATTCTGGATTGAAATACAGTAAAATGGAATTTAAAAAGTCAAGCTTCTTTGAAACAAACTATGCTTGCATTAGTTACACAAATTGTAGCTGACTTATTACAAATTGCTACCACCAAGACTTGCTACAAAATGCATTTATTTTTAAGGAAAGAAAAGCAATCTAACAGCATGGAAATATAATGGACGAAATTATATGAGCTTTGAATGCAAGACTTCGATGTAATATGTCAGAAATCGCTTTCCATGAAAAAGGGCCAACCCTTGCTAACTCGACTTGCTGCTTTAAGCGTTTTACTCAACCTCACAATTTGACAGATGGGCCACGAATAGGAATCCCATGGGCCACAGACAAGAATATTACTGGTCACAGAAAAAGAATATTATGGACTACAAATTAAAACCTCATTGGCCACAAATAAAAATATTGCAGGTCACAGATAGGAATCACCAGGCCATAAATAAGGGACCCACGGGTCAAAAATGAAAACCTAGCGGGCCACAAATAAAAACTTCATGGGCCATAAATAAAAACTTCATGGGCCACAAATAAAAACTTCACGGGCCACAAATAAAAATATTGCGGGTCACAGATAGGAATCACCAGGCCATAAATAAGGGACCCACGTGTCAAAAATAAAACCTAGCGGGCCACAAATAAAAACTTCATGGGCCATAAATAAAAACTTCATGGGCCACAAATAAAAACTTCACGGGCCTTAAATAAAAACTTCACGGGCCACAAATGAAAACTTCATGGGCCACAAATAAAAACTTCATGGGCCATAAATCAAAACTTAATGGGCCACAAATAAAAACTTCACGGGCCACAAATAAAAAACTCTTGATATCTAAATGCTTATTAGCATAGACTGAAATTTATTGCAAAAAACCCAAGGGCATATGATAAGGAATCAAACTTGAGAGACAATTTTCTCCTTTCACGCTACAATCTTCCTTTGAAATTACAAACGGCTTTCTTTTCTTTTTTAAATTCGATAAAACTTCTATTATCTAAACCTTCGAAGTTTCTCTGACTTCTAGAAACAAAGCAGTAAATGAATCGTACAGGGTTCCATCGTCAATGTTCCTCATTTCAGCCTTTATAAAGATCTTCCTTCCCTCCTTTTTTGTTATCCAAGCTATGCATTCTGCTGTCGAGTGTAAAGGCAAAAAGCTGAAATGAAATAAATTTTACATGTCATTTTACATAAATATACAAACTTGTGCTGAAATTTAGCAGTAAGCGCGATAGCAATGAACCAAATAAAGAAACATTTAAGGTACCCAAATTCATAGTCTTAAAAATATGATACAATCGAGGACTATGAAAAGGGACAATAAAACAAGGAGGGTGTCTCCCCTCACGACCATCCCCTAGCGACGGCAACGATCAAAAGTTGTATTGAAGCCAACTATTCGTGTATAAATTGAAGTACACGTGGGGGTAACAGATATAAGCAAAAATATATAAGTGAGGAACTTTAGGGGTTCTAAAGACTGCAAAACTTAGAAAACACAGGAAAAATTATCTGACAAAATTTTGCGGCATAAAAATGCTTTTAAAGAGAAGTGTATGTAAGAGTGTATAAAAATATAATCATGCGAATATATAAATAAAAACATATAACAGTAAGAGAATCTTCGTTGACAATCGACCTTATGCGCGCAGCATACAGGAAAAACGGGGAATGAGCTGGGTACAAAATAATTTTAAGAGAAATTTGCAAATTAAGGTAATTTCAATGACGAAATATAGATGCGTTGTCATAAAAACCCTTTCTGCTTTGGCACGATGAACGGCCAACAATACCTGCTTTTAGTTTTACAACATTACTTAGGGGGAACTAGAGGATATTGGACAATTCTGAATTGCATGACGGGATATGATGCGCTTCCAAAGGGCTGATGTTTACGAAGGTTCTTTAAGGAGTAAAGGTGTAAGGAAAATTGGAGTGTTGGTTTTGAATGCAAGAATGTTCCGTTAGGTAACAAAAGTAAGCAGGTTAAAAAGGGAGATGAGCTTAGCTGACAGATTGACGCCCAATTTAAGAATTTTATTCGTCTTAAAAAAATTGGATTTTGCATAGAGAGAAGTGTACGTATTGCTTGAGAGGAAAATGTCTGGCGTTGATCGTTTTGGAAAATACATAGCTCCCGAGTTACCTGCGACTGGCGGGATAGACCCCCATAAACTCTTATAAAGCGCCCTTGGGCTTCTACCGAAAATTGAAAAATTCTACTTTTGATACTGTTTTTCACAACATACTGTGTCCTTACCACTTCTGAACCTCTAATTACTTCTAAAAAACGCAGTAGTTATAAAAGTAAATTTTTACAATCTTTCTTATTGCTACTCATAAAAAACGCTACTTTAGTTAATAGGAAAAAAACCAAACCTATTCTTTTGAGAACTCGTCATTTGTGCCATCTATTCGAAGCCACAATGCGGAACATTTATCAAAAACAGTTTTCCCGTCTAGGCTCCTTAATTCCGATTCGACAAAAATCTTTCTGCCTTCCTTTTTTCTCACCCATGCAACGCATTCTGCAGTGGTGTACAGAGGCAAAAAACTGCAAATTTTAAAGAGCATATTGATTTTTAATTGAATGTTATAAAAAGATGACAGCTTCTTGCTGAAGAAGATCAAAAATCTGAATGCAATAGAAAACATAAAACGAGATTAAGGAATAACAAAATCAGAGATAATGAATGTTTTTTCAAATTTTATCGCGAAAGAGACAACAGAAAATAAAAATATGCAATCTTTATTGCGATAATGAAAATAAGTGAAAAGTGTATGTGATTTCGCATGTGACTGTGCATGTGACTGTGCATGTGACTGCGCATGTGACTGCGCATGTGATTTTGGATTTGTTGGTGTTTGCTTGTGTATATATGCTACTTAAATGTGACTGTGCATGGGACTGTGCATGTGACTGTGCGTGACTGTATATTTGACTGCACATGTGATTTTGGATGTGTTAGTGTTTGCTTGTGTATATATGCTAGTTAAATATGACTGTGCGTGTGACTGTGCATGTGATTATGCATGTGACTGCATATCTATGTGTTAGATGTGACCTGACTATTCAAATGGGTGTGCATTTTTAAGGTTGTGCCCTTGTGGGTAAACAGTCTCTCTGGAAGAAACTTGATTTACTTAGGGCTATTATTCCACACAAAAACACAGCTTTCTTACAAACTCCACCTAAATTCCTTACATGATTCAGGAGTAATCTTTTATCAAACTCTATAGAAAAGGCAAAAGTTTCTATATAGAAAATGAACTTGCCCATGAAAGTTTACATTAAGGTTGACAGTGACACATCTATATCCTAACTGATATGCTAAAACTCCACCAGCTGAATCAAAGATTGTTGCAATGGCACCACCATGGACTGCTCTAAAAGAGAGATAATACGAACAAAGTGACCAGAAGTTTCCTCCTCACTTTAGAACATTAATTGAATATTCAAAATATTTCCTCTGCAAGGTTTTATTGCAAGAAGTGCAATTTTTGCCTTACAACTTGTATTGCAACAACATATCTCCCAAGTTGAAAAATTAGTAAACGCTTTTTATTTTTCATTCACATTCTTCTCTTTAAATCACTATTACAATATTCTTAAGCCTTTATTTCGTCACCTATACATGTCAAACCGGGCATATGACCTAGATTGCTCCTTGTGAGTTCCTTTCATATGTCCGACAGCAAACATATTAAACTACGAACTACCTACTGTATGTAGTTTTCCTTTTTGTAAAAAATAATTGTTATTTGTGGTTCAAGTATCAAATATAAATGCAGTAGTTATTAATTGCTGTGAATGAAAAGATTGAGTTGTTACCCTTTAGGTCCTTGTAACCATGGTCCAAACTGCACTACTGCCCTCAACTTTTGCTCTTCCCTATTAAAAAACATAGCATACTCAAACAACTTTCCTTCCTCTGCCACACATCTTGTATAGAGCCGAGCATCAGAAGTGAAATTCTTAAATGAGGTTATTTTTTCCCATTTGCCATCTTTACATAAATCCACAAGTTCATTATAAAGTTTCTTTGTCTTGTCTGACCATGAGTTGTTTGGCAAACTAGCTTCACAGACCAATTTGCTATCATTCTCGTCATCTCCAGTTTTGGTTGCCATACCATTTGCAGTTTGTCTCTAAAAAACATAATGAGAAATTTCAGCTAGTGTCTATAAACAGTAACAAGAAAGAACAGACAAATTTTTGCAGATTTACTAAAGGATGCTAAGGATCATAAATATCAGGCTTTTTGAATGACGCCAGGCCAATTACAGGGCCTCCAACGAAGGGAGGGGGCAGGGGACCAACTTTTTTGCAAAACAATAGAGTTTTTTTTTAAATTATTTTGTTTAATTGTTGAAATCTTCCCTGCCCCCCCCCCCCACTTTCCAACCTGCGTCGGAGCCCATGATTTAAAATTGACATGCTATGAAACAAGATAGTAAGCCTATGATGATGAGACAGGAAATTGACTCTGAGTCAATTTGAGAGCAGAGAACCTTATAAACATTACATCTGCTAAACTTATTCTTGGTACTAAACTTTCTTTAACAACTGCATGGCTGTTTAAAAAATCACCACAGCAACAGATTCAACAGTCTGCTCCAGACCATGTGAAACAGGCTCAAGCATTTGCCAATAGAGTACCGAAGTGATGACATCATAGAAATCTATTTTTAGACTTTCTGAATTTTGATCCCAGAACCTAAAAAAGCATCATAAAATACCTCTAAAAATTCAAAATCAGTTAAAGGCATTACGAATTGGCTGAGATATGGCTGCTTGAGCACAGGCTCTTGCTCCATCAAACCTCTGTAATTTGGTCTCAGTTCATAACTTGAAGAACCAGGCCTGAATAACAGTAATCTGTTAGCAATTAAATTGGAACATATCTAACTAATTTTGCACATTGAGAGGTATTTTATGCTGTTCTTTCAGATTATGTGGCCAAATTTGAGAAATTCTAAAAATAGACTTATGATGATGTCACACTTTGATACTCTATGACATTGGCAGGTGCCTCAAGAACTCCTTTACAAATTTATGCAGTACCCTCAACCAAAGTAGAGAGAGAATGAAACAACAGTATTATAAGAAAACTAGGCAACATCATTATAAGATCAATGATACTTTCATGGTATGAAACCCACCTCAGAAAAGGGGTGTTTCACATTGTTTTCAATCAAAATGGTTGGGGCTTTGGACAATCACCCACTTGATTGGAGATCTGAATTGTAAGCTTGTTGACACCAGTGGCAAAGCCAGTCCTACTATTCATGTCAATCAACTGAAGCATATACCTCCTAGATCTATCCACTAACTCAAAAAAGCAACTGACCCTCTACCTGCAAAGGAACCTCCTAAGAAAAAAGTCTGTGATGTTTTTGCTGACCTAACCAATACCGAAACAAAGAACCTTGTTGATGATAGAGTACAAGTTGAGGGTGCAAGAGAAGGAGGAGAACTTAAACCACAGAGAACAACTAGAAGATAATAACAACAGCATTAACAGGAATTGGTGCAGAGTAGACATTGGAAACATACTACCAAACAAGATCGCTCACATTCACTAACATAGGAAAAGAGATGAGGGGGATAGTGTTGTCCCCTGTGAACAATAGTATGCCTTTTTGGGGATTGGCCTATTTGGGGGCTGGTTGGTTTCCTGGGTGCTGATTTGTCCTTTCTGGGGCAGGGGGGTTGCTCTGCATGGTCTTTGCAGTTGGGAGTTGAGTCTTTCCATTGTGGGGATTGTGTGGAGGGGCATGCCTTGCCCTTGGTTGGTGGGACAGTGTTCAGGGATTTTAGCTGGCATATGTGGGTTGGTCCTGTGGGGCAGTGACTGGTCGCTTGCTTGACTGGGAGGTGGTAATACCTTGAAACTGAACTGAATTCAATTATGAAGTTTATTAAATGCCCAGAAACTCTTTCCCAATTTCACTAGTCATTTTTAAAGTAGGGGGTGCTCTCTCCTTGATTAGCCTTGCTACTGAGAGAGCTCTCCTCGAGAATTTCCCCTGTATACAATTCCTTTTTTCCCTCAAATTATGGCATATTTATATTGTATGTTATTAATATTTGTTGTTGTTAACTTGCTATTAAATTGAATGTTGTAGAATTTTGAAATTAAATGAACTGAACTGAACTAAACTGAAATATGTGCATAAATCATATCCAGCCTCTATTCCAGTTAGCAAGTGTTATGGTGAAGATAAATATATTTTGAAGTCTTATTTTGTCTCAATATTTGGCTTATTACAACAGGTCCCAGAATTTTTTTCATCTGATTTTATCATTCTTCATAAAGGGTGCACTATTTCAAAGAAAGGGGCACCATACTTGCTTCAAATTGGTGGGGCCAGGCTGGTAAACTTGCATATGCTTGCTGTGATGCTGGACGTCCTGCACTCGCACTTCTAGTGACCCAAAATATAAAGGAATTTATGTTTATCATACCACATAATGTGAACATGGGCATTGTTGCTCGCAGCTTAAATGCTTCCGCTCACAGGTTGCAGTGATGTGTCAGCAAAATCATACGTTTTCCAAACTTGTTGAACCAAAATTTGTTGAACCAAAACCAAATGCAACATTTTGTAGAAATCAACAAACTGGAGCGCTTGGTGGAAATGGTATTGATCCTACTTCTGAGTTAATTTTCCTTTTTTTAAATGCTCCTTGAGTAAATGCTCCAGATTGGTTGTAAAGTAAAGGTTGTAACGATTGAAGATTGAAGAACTGGTGGCGGGGGGGGGGGGGCAACTGCACCCAGTGTTATATATAAAACAGAGTGGATTTTTCCAAATTTATTTCTACAGACTTTAACTGACAAAAGTCCCCAAATTTTACTTCCGATCACGTCCAATCTGTTCGAGACACACTAATTTTATCAAGTGTGCATTGATAATTTCTGAAAAACATCTCGGATGTGCAGCTGCCTGTTGTCATACCTCCCATTACTGGACTAGGACTAGGCCTAAAATATGTATCATATCTATTATGTATGACAAACAAACTTACCCGTGAAATGGTTTTGCTAAGGGAAGCTATATTGAACCCAGCTGTTTCAAAACAAACGTGGTGGACGTTAATGATGCTATCGTGATAATGGAATTACAAGAATTTGACATGGATTCGTTTAGACACGAACAGCACGTGACGGAAACACTGGCAAGTTTAACAGAGACTCGGAAAGCTTACCTTAATAAAAGATGTTTCAGGCCTGTTGTATAACCTTTGAACAGATCTGATATTTTTCAAAGTCCCGGCACAACGCAAAGGCACTTTATTCATGTCGCATAGAGAGTACCTTCTCGACCTTCGCTCCTTATTTGAACGTGTTCAAGTTGAAAGTACAGAGGTCGAGAGAAACACTAGTTTGTTGTTGCAGTTGTCGGGAAGATGACACAAGCCCCTTTTAAAACCCCCCCTCTTTGGAAAAGGGCAGTAATGAGAAAATATAGAGAAACTAAAGGGCACATTTGGAGAGTGAAATTATTTATGATATTTCAGACTTTGTAAGCAGGTGATTTTTGACAAATCTTTTTCGGTACACAACGGTATATACGGGTGAAAATCCGAGACAATATTTTTGATCTTTCAATCATCACCATGCTCCACAGTTCATCATTTTGAACTGTATAAGAGGTCTTCCAAATTTTCAGTAGAAAAAAACTTTTATTGCAACGAGGCCTATGGAGAATTTTTTACATTTAATGAACAACCAATACAAAGATGTGATAGAGGAGAGGAGAAATAAATGAAACACGGACTAACAATAAAACATGAACATAAGACTTTCAACAGAAGATCTAAATGAACTAAAAGTTTTGGAAAGAAAAATTATTTTCTAAAATATTTTTGAATAAAGTTTTGGGAATAAAGCTCTCCTTATCAGAGCCTGCGCCAGGAGTTTGAAAGTTGGGGGGGCAATGTTAAGAAAGTTGGGGGCCAAGGCTTTTTACCTCTTTTACTGCAACTTTTAAACCACTTGCTTCGCAAAAAAGTGGGGCCCATGGCCACCCCGCCTCCCCCTCCCCCACCCCGGTGGCGTGGGCCCTGTTTATAAGAATAGACTTGGAAAAACTTTCAATTTTAGGAGGTCAAAAATGTTTTAATAGAAAACTAGATTCTAAACTATCATTAAGTGTATAAATGTAAAACAAATCCAGCGAACAAGAGAAAAGTGGTAAATTTAAAAAGGAACAAGGGAACAATAATGCCCCCAGCCCACCCTGCCCCTAAACGACCAGCTTCACGCCGTTTCATTTTAGGGACCTGGGAACGAGCGACGGTTACATCTTGCGCGGTAAATTTCATATTTGAGTTTGGCCTATGGGGTGTTGTATTGTCCAGATATATTATTATTAGTTTTGATTTTAAGCTATTAACCTGGAGAAGTAAAAGTACGGATGATCGACACTTGCAATAATGGAGGACCTTGAAAAGCAGTATGAAGAAACTGGGCGGATCTTCGACAAATTTGTGCACCTTTGCAAGTCGTTGCACCTCGACTTTGTGCAACATATCCAAGACATCAATGTTGACCTGTCATTAGATACTGATGAAACGAAGTTAAAATTACCTGCAATCGAATGTTTTAAAGAGTTTGTAGAAAATGGAAAGGACGACGAAGTTATTCAAGAGAAAAATGAGCCCGAGGATTCGTGGCAGCAAGTGTGTGGACCTCGTGAGAATTATGAAGATGTCAGCGGAAAGTCGACTGGCCATGAGTTGAATCCCCTCACACCAACTGCGATAGAGCGAAGTGTAAATTTCGACCAAGAGCCTTTAGTTTTGGTAAGCATAAATGAATCGAAAGCCTTTTTCAAATTTTAAGAACGAGGACTTTTAAAACGCACCCGTAAAAATCTCGTAGGCCCATTTTTTGTCTCAGCAACGAACATTCTTATAAGATAGGTTTTCATTAGCTATGGTGGTATAAATTTTAAAGAATTGCCTTTGCCATTTTTATTTTCAAAATGTAACACCAAATAGTGAGTGTTTCTTGATGCTTGAAGCTTTGATAAAGAAAATACAAAATTTATTTGGCTTTAAGACAAATCAAAACATACATCAAATTCGGAGCAGGACAAAATTTAAATGGCAAAAAAGACCCCAATCAAAGTTGGTGTTTTTTATTTAGTTTGGACCTGTAACTGGGCCTTAAGAAAGAGAGGGGGCAAAGGATCTAGCCTGTTAATTTAGTTGAGTTGGCGATATTAGGAAATGGCCTCTGAGCCGATAGCAAAGCCCTTATAAGGGAAAAGAGGGGGTGAAGGCCTGGTTACAAAAAATAATATTCAATTACAAATCTTTACTATTCAATGATCCCGATAGAATAATTATATTCTTTGATTATTCTTGTTGGTATTCTGATGAAGAATTTATCAAAGAATAATCTTATCACCTCATTTTTCCAATTGCGTTTTGATTGTAGGATTAAAATCAAACTAGTTTGAATTTATTCACCTTGACAAGAATATTCAAACAATTGGGTGATGACGCAAATATATTGTTCTTTGAAAAATTCCTCATTGAAATAAAAGGATAACAATTTAAATAATAGATTTTGTGCTTAAAATAGTATTATCCTTTTTGAATATTATTTTGTGTAACAAGGCCTTAAAGAAGATAGGTGCGAAAGATCAAGCTATAAAAACAGACTTTGTAAAAATGCAGTGCCTCAATCTGCCAAAAAAAGACAGGGTAAAAAATGCACATACTCTGATGAATAATTAGATGAAAAACAATGAATATTTGCACTTGTTAGCAAATCAACCTGGCTACTAAAAAAGTCATACAAAATTCTAAATGGTTTTAGAAACAATTTATTAAGTGTAGTTGTAGAAAAATCAATGAAACAAGAATAGCATTTAAAACACTCAGACCTCAAAAAAGTGTAGGTCTTGTCTCATTATATAAAATTTCAGATCTCCTGAAAATATATGATAAAGTCAAATTGCATTCAAGCTTATTCAAATTATAATTTTCAAGAACAAGAGATTTACTCCCACCATCTGTTTTGACAGGATCTGCAGTGAAGCAAGGCAATTCCAGACACTTCTTTTTTTATTCTTTTAGTTTTGATATTTAATCAGTTATGATATTTATCCACTTAAGATGGGATACCAGTTTGCCAGTTGATAAAGATTATTGTTTACCCATCTGTTGTATAGTGCTTGTCGCACTGAAGTAGAGGTGTACAGGGATTAATGTGAAGAACAAGACAACTGCAATTAACAACACAGAGTTTCAAGCTTGTTGCTATCATCATTCTCTTCATAATATATGTTCTGTTTATAATGTTTGCTGAATATTTTCTTATTTGTAGAGCAATAAAGGTGTCCAGACAACCCCACTATGTCGCAAGGTGTCAAAAACAACACCAAAGAATCTTTTACGAAGCCTTCAGGTATTTCAACTTTGACTTTTCATGATTTTTTCTAAAATCTGTATTTTGGAATGATTTTTCAATAAATGGATAAAATGTCTAAGTAAATACTCAATAATTATGGGAGGTAAAGATTTATTCAATTTTTAAATGCCACACGATTTTTGAATAAATTTCATCATAAGAAAGCACCTTTACTCTATGCAGAACAGTCACTAAGAGGGATGGGATGAGTTCTAGGCTTGTATTTGAGAAGGACAATTTATTGATTCAATCTTGGTGGAAAATTATTAGTTTTATCATAAGGAAATTAGTATGTGTGTGGTAGAACATATGCATCATGTCATTCATGCATAGCCTGGTTCACACCAAGTGCGATTATGTTATTCTCACTAACTTCTCAAGCGATTTTTCAACGTATTGTAAAGAGGTGATAGAAATGCATTATGAATGTGACAAACTTGTTTGCCCCAATTGGAGACTTTTTGTCACTGTTTGAAATCTTCTTTAAATGTTCAAAAATATTCATGATTACATGTAGTATAGTAAACAACAAAGAGTGGGTGATTTTAGACAGCAAGCACTGCAATGCAAAAATAGTTAAATGATCCTGGTGATAGTTGAATCACACTTGGAAATGAAATTGAAAGGACAATTAGTTTGATTTTTTTTCAAAATTTAGTCTATTTTCAAATTGTTACAGATATTTTCCCACCAAGAGGTATGTGCTTGGTTGTAAAGACAAGATTCTGCGTCAAGGACCACACAGTTTCCTTTAAAACAAACGAAATCAATTTACAAATTAAATGACTATAGCTATGCAAGTGATCAAGCTAAGCAAGTAGATGTCATGAGCAAATGAATTGTGCTTCCAAACAAAGAAAAGTATTATCAGTGCTGTGGCTGACAGTAAGAAGACTGTATCACACCAATACAGTGCGCTTTGAACCTGTAACAAAACATTCAAGAACAAAACAAATAGAAATGATATTTCAGTTTCTCTTCTTCTTACATATTCCTCTACTTGACTTTATGACCTCATCTGCTACCTGTCAAACCTATATAAATTATTTCTGCTTCACCTCTCTTTTCTCTTTCTCTCATTGACCACAACAACAATAACTCCTGTTCCAGTCCCTGATTGCTCACACCTTTACAAGTTCTTAAAACTTGGTTCTTTGACTTTTTTCTTAATAAACAGCTACCCCAGTCAAATTTTTAATAACCTTAAATCTTTTTGTTAACATCTTTCAGCATTCATCAATTTTGGATAAGAGTTTGGGCACTGCAGAGAAAGGTGAATCAAGCTATGAAGGAGATGTGTCATACGAAAGCAACTTTCACAGCCATGCAGCTTTATCAAGCTTTTCAGCCACTGATATTGATGCCACTGTTTTTCCCAATTCCACATACACCAACACGCCATCAGAGGAGACAGATGGGTCAACTTTTGTTAGCAGCAAGAATTTTTATGATAGCTATGAAGTTGACAGTAACACAGAAATTTCATCAATAATGTCAGATACTTCCAATTTCAAACGAGTTCGTGCAAGCCGGTATTCCCTGGTCAGTTTCAAACTGCCTGTAAAAGATGACACAACACTTGATAGTTTTACTGAAGGGATGAGCTTGAATATGGACATCGCCAGTAAGGATCCAATTTTGGAAAGTGGGAAAGAAGAATGTGGTGCATCAACATCGATCAGTATTTTTGCATGTGATGATTCAGACATGCAGGATTTGCAATCATTGATTGCAGAAGAATCTACTGCTTCTGTTTCAATAGAAGAATCTTTGCACATTGATAAAAGAAAATCTTGTGAAACAAGAGAATTTGAACTATCAGTTTCAGGTCATTCTAGTATTTCCCAAGAAACAGAAGAACAGAATTTCACAGATGAAACAGTTGAGAATGTTTCAATGACCCATGAATCTTTGCTGACATCAAAAACAGAGGAAGATGTAGTTGATAGCCAAGGCGAAGATGCCAACAAGTCTCAAAATGAGGATGTTGAAAAAAGCATGACTGAGCAAGAACATGAAAAAACTTCACCGATGGAAGAAAGTATGGATGATCATGAACATGAAAACTCCCTGCGTGGAGAAGCAACTGTCCATGGTAAGGCTGTTGTGCTAGCAGATGGGAAAGAGGACTTTGTGGCAAATGTGGGTGATAAATCGGCTGTGAACCAACAGAACAGTTATGCGAAATCGCCTCTAAATAATGAGCAAAGCCCAGAGGCTGTTATGGATACCTCTCATGGTTCTGTAGTTGGCAGTGTTGCAAAAGATAATGTTGGGAATATTGTTTCTGAAGATGGTGACGCTGAACGAGCAATTAGTAAAACTGAGAATTGTGATACCGATATGAAAATGGACCAATCAGATGATTTGAAGGAAGTAAGTAACTCACCAGCTGATCAAAATGATTCATTGGCCGCCAGTCCGTTGCCAGAAGAAGATGATAGTCCAGAAGAAAACTTCATAGGTCAGGGTGAGCCAGAAATTGAAGACACAGCTGTGCTTGAAAAGACAAGGCCAGAAATCACATCGATGGTATCTCCTTTGAAAACAAGTTTGGGAGGTAAAGGCAAGAAGAAACAGAGAAATAAGCAAGTTCAAATTAATGGGAAAAAGAAGAGAAAGGGACCGCCACTCAATATGCCGAATAGTTGGAAACCCAAGAGACACAATCTTATGGCATGCTTAACGCTTGCAAAGTTGAATGAGACAAGATCACAGCAAACACGCTATGCCTTTAGACGCGAACCAAACTCAACTATTCTGAAAAATGTCCAAGATACGCCTTTGTGTAAACCAATTTCGAACACAAAACTTTTCTCCCGAAAGAAATTGAGCTCTCTTGAGGATTCATCTTTGTTTTCTTCAGAGGAAGACCAAAGTCAAGAGAAGATTGAAAAATTGAATAATAATGAATGCGGTAATACCAGTGTTCCCAATGGATTTGCTGTTGTACAGAGGACTCTTAAAACACCGAAATTGTCACAAAAGCCTGACTTGGCAAGCAGCATGCTGAAAAGTCAGAATAAAACACAGACTGCTGTGGACAGAAATGACGGCAGTGTTGTCGCTATGGATACAACCCCAGACGCTGATAGAAAGTTGGCACTGTAGCGACCAGTGAGCAGGTGCTTTTGAGTGTGGTGAAAAAGAAGGGACACGAAAAGAGTTCCACCAGTAACAAAGAAACAATTAATCTGGCCCTGCATATCACTATTAGCGAACAAAACAGTTCCCCTGTTGTTTCTGTGAATAATAACGATGTTGGCAAGAATGTCGATGTTACGTTGAAGTCCAGGAATGAATATATTGAAAATACGAAAGATTCTGTTGACGTTGAAATGAAAATGGAAAGTCAAGGGTCAAAGCTGGATTCGTCTGTTCCAATGAATACAGAAGAAGAAAAGGGCCTAAAAATTTCACGTCGTTCGCGTAAAAAGGGTAGTAACACTAATCTGGGTGCCAAAGGTCAATTAAAAGCGGGTAAAGATGTTTCAGAATTAGATGAAAGTTTTCCAGAAGCTAAAACATTTTTAAAGCGGACACGAAAAACCAAAAATGAACCGAAAGAGAAACGTTTAACAGTGAAATGTGTCACCGGAGATGTTAAAGGAAAAAGTGAAGAAGTAGAAGAGGCAGACACATCGATATCCGCTGATGCAGATCGTAGTTTGAAACTGACGGAGAAAACGAAGATTGAAAAGCTGGATGCAAATAATGCAAGAAAAGGAGGAAGGAAGAATAGAAAGCCAATTGCTGATGCTGTCAAAGAGGCAAATGTTATTAAAACACGTAGAAAAGGTGGCAACAGAAATCGTGTGATGAAAACCCACGAGGCATCATGTGTGGATGATGATAACAAGGAAAGTAATTTAATGCAAGGAAGTAAAATTGCCAACAACGATTCAATGAGCCAGGATTCTGGTGAATCAAAAAATACCTGTATCGATTTGAAGACGCGGAAGAAAAGTGTTACTGTATGCAAAGGTGATGCAAGATTGAGAAGATCTTCGAGACAGAAGAGACCCAATGCAGCAGATGATGAATCTTCAAAGTTGGAGAGCAGTGTTGCAGAAGCCAGGCATCTTGGGGATGATTGTTCAACGGAAGCACCAAAGGGTCGAAAAGGACAGGCTGCAAAACCAAAGGCACCGTCGAAGGCAAAGGGGAAGAAGCAAAATAAGAAAGATAAATTGATGGCAGGTGATAAACAGAAGATTGATAGTAAAGATGATGTGGATTCTAAAGCTATGAATGATGGTATTAACGAGGAGAGCTCTGATCTTGCCAAGCGCCGAGATGTGTGCAATGACGGCATTATGTCCGAGGCATTGGGTTCTCTGGCATTGGAGACTGATGCATTGGATTCTCAGGCAGTAGAGTCTCAGGCAGAAGAATCCCAAGCATTAGAGTCTCAGGCATCAGAGTCTGAGGTATTGGATGCCGGGGCAGCAAAGAAGAAAAAACACAACACACACAGAAATACCAGGATATCGATGGCGCCTTCGTTAGTGTTTATTGAAGAATGCGAAGAAGATTCAAAAGTTGTCGTCTCACCCAAACCGTGTAAAATAAAACCAGAGCCCTTTACTCCCAAAGATTCAGCCACTGTTAATAACAATGATGTGGAAATTTCAACGCCAGAGGAAATCGCTACTTGCAATAAGCTTGATGATTTACCTAAAACAGCTGAAACAAGATCGTTAAGAAAACGCGGTGTCAAGCGGGCTTCCACAGCAGCTAGTCCAAGCGTAAAGGAAAGCAAGACGGGAGCAAAGCCTGCCAAAACTAGAGCAAAGGGAAATGGTACCAAGATAAATGGCAATGGAGTAAAGGCGGCAACGGGGAGGAGAAATAAAAGGAAAACTGGTAAAAGTGGGAATGAAAATGGAGTGGCAGCAGATGAAGCTGAAGCCATGGAAGTTGATAATGAAGAAGTCGTGAATGGAGATGCAGATGGCAAAGCTGTGGCGGAACAGGTGGAGCATGTTGCGGAGGAGGAAAATGGGAAGGTAGGCGGAACAGATGAAGCGATAAGCTCGCCTCTTATGTCGCTGCCTCCTTCTGGGGTGCGAAGATCAGCCCGCAAAGGTTAGTGTTTTTCATTAACATCTTTCAACTGTACCTGGCTTTTTAGAAAAACCTTTTTGAAATATATTTTTCAAGCTATTTGTTTTTGAAATACTACCAGCGGTTGCAAAGCATCTGAAGAAAAGACTACTGCTTCTCGATCGGTCTGTCAGATAACTTGTGGTTGCATTCGATCTGGTTTTGTACTTGGCAATTGTTCTGCTTTACGAAAGTTCGTTTTGACAATTTCAACACAAATTATCATTGTTAATATTTACAATCGTTCCATAGACGTGTCGAACTATTTATTTCTCGTGTTATCATAATTGTTCCTTTTCATTTACTTACAATCCCTGCCAAAATTCCTTGAAATGCCCTCTTGTTTAAGTGATGTTTTAAAAAGGCCAACTTTTCCCTGTAATACCTGCGCAACAGAACCCCCTCTCCCTCAAAACATAATTGATTATAGAGTCAAATGTCATTTGGACCACACCGAAAGAAATCCATTGGACCAATCGAACCTGTGCTTAAAGCGACATTGTTCGGAGGGGGCGAGGAGGTGCAGTATAAAGTATTTAAAAGTTTGCTGTTGTGTGCCCAGACTTTCGGCGGCCATTGTAGCTTAAACTGCAGTCAGCTAAAACTATCTATCTTGGTACAGCGATGCAATGAGTTTTTGCTTGTTTAAAGCAATCTCGTTTTTGGTTAAGCTTCTTAGCGTTCCTATCTTTCTGTCACCCTTGCAGTGACGTCATAGCGTTAACAGCTCTACTTTATCCATTTCCAGCTAAACAAGGCCCAGTTGTGGAAAGCAGCGAGAAAGAAAATGTTTTCAAAGAGCCACTCTGCACGATCAAGTGAGTTTGATTTTCATCTGGTATTTTACTTTGGTTGTGTTGTTGAGATGTTAACTCATCTGTTGTCATGAGATGTTAAGTCGATATATTTTCCTCCCGTTCCAACGTAGCAGCCTTTTATGAAAGGATTTCAAGTAGGATTGAGACCTTTTTTAGAAAAAGAGGACGATAATCTTTTATGAATTAATGCTACAGTAGCTGGCAGGCTCATTAATCCTCTTTTAGCATGCTAAAAAAGCTTAAGTTTTTTACGCTGGTCAAGTTAAGTTAAGTTTTTAAGCCTTAGGAACACAAACGTACCTGAAATAAATAAGCTAATCATTTAGACCTTCAACATCATAGTGGACGAATAGGGATCCGCGTTAAAATTTCTGTACTACAGGTATTTACTGTGAAGGTATAATTTTAATGCTGACCTAGGGTCATTCTTGACAATAATCTGCGTGTTGGCAATTTTGAGCTACAAACACCCAAAACGCTTCATTGCTTGTTTTCAAACAATTTGGTTTTCCGAGAAAACTGAAGAATTTTCATGTAAGATATTTTGGAATAGGTGTCTTTTACTCTGAAATGACCTTATGCACCTTTAAAATAAGCACAGGAATTGACTCCTGAACAAGAAGGTTCACCCTAAAAGAGTTTAACATGCGCGATTCTTATTGCAGGAGTGCAACTAAGCCAAAGCGGATAGTAAAACGTGCGACATCCAGTCAGCTGAACCAAAGCATTCCCGAGAAACGAAAACGCTCTTTATTCAATGGAAAGAACACTTCTCTAATGTCACTGCAATTTTCGACCATGCACGTGAGTAAAATGTCTTCTAGCTCTCTTATATCTAATAACAATGCAAGAGTTGGTTCACGAATTTTTAACATTTTCCCAAGCGATTAAACCATGTTCTAGGGAAAGGGGGCGGGGCTGTTCATCGGTCATAAATTGATGAATTTTTGTTCTTTCCTGTACATGCTGGGGAGAAGGAGTTTCCAAATGAGTATTTTTGGCACCTTCAAACCAGCCTAAATTTATCCTAGCTAAAATACCTTTGTTCAGTTGCTTAATAATGTCATTTTTATTTAGAATTTTGAAAATATTTGGCCAAAAATTAGCAGAATTTTGTTATTTATTTATGATTACTAAATTGATTACTTTTTTCAGGATGCCTCAGTTTGCAATATGACGAAGAATACAACGATGAATACCTCCGGAATGCCACCAACCCTATCGAGTTTCCTGAAAAGTTTCGTTGCGCCAAAAATCAAGAAAAAGACCTGATGGAACTAAGCAGTTGTTGGTGTCCATATTGCGATTGATGACGTCATAACGATAAGCTACTGCGGCTTGACTCCCTGTGCTAGAAGCAAGAAGCTTTTGTATATACTCACCGGACAACAGTCGCGGGACACTTGCATGACAACCGGACAATGGTTATACCGGTAGTCTCTCTATTGGGACTCTTGGCAATGGACAATGGTCCTGTGCTTTTGAGAAGGTCCTTTCGGACAGTTCTCTTGAAAAGCGAGTCATTTAGGCCCTGTGTATATAATTTAGAAGGTATTTGCCTTTGGTGTAAAACTCAGTGGGTATCACGAAAACGCCTTTTTAGAAGGCAGATTTGCCAACACAAATGTACAGAACCACTTTACGGGTTTGTTTCCGCAACCCTTATTCTACAACTGCTCAATTTAGGCAAACGTTATGTTTTTAAGTAATTTTGTACTGTTGTCTTAAATTCTCAAATATTTTATGTTAGTTTTAACATATTCAACACAGGTTTTCCCCTCGAGAAATTTAAAATAGCAATACTGGTGGTTAAAATGGAAATGCTATCCAGACACTTTCTGTGTGAATACCTGACAAAAAGCATAGACCATTATGCGTTTCTAAGATTTTGCATCCAAAATTTAAAAGACTGGATATCCTTCCCTTCGTGTGACTGCCCATTTTATGCAAAACTCTTTATTGACTGCAACAAGTATGCTAAATTTATTTGAGAAAATTTTCGTTTAAGAACAAAAGTAGATAGTTTCATTTTATCACTGTCCAATTGTTCCCAAGCCGATTCGAGCGCACATTGCCCACGAATGTTTGTCTCTGGTCATAAAGGAAATGACAGTTACATGACCGTAGGCTAACATGATGTAGTTTCAAAAACTATTGAGAAACAAAGCAAGCTCTAGCGCCTTTCAAAAATTATCTGTAACTAGGAACGCTCAAAATGTCTTGGTATAATTTTACCCACTGCTGTACAAACGAGCTATTGTATATAAATTTTAGAATGAAGAAAACCTGCGTTTCTCCATAAACTTTGTTCTTTTATACAGATTTAGTTCTAAACTGTTGCGTTTTAAACCTTGACAAAATGCTCAAGGAAAGAATCTTGAAAGAAGGAAATCAACATTCATTATATGAAACCAAAAACAATATTTTTCAGAAGATAGCAAAGGTTTTTACATACATGCAACAAAGAAAATAATTATGACTTTTACAATATTATTTGATTAATTTGAAAGGGATTTGAAATTTCTTATTAGATGAAGATTTTAAAATCATCTAGAAATTTTTAGGATATGCCTTACTATACACCAACGAGTAAAAATCCCTAGCTAGACAAATAGGAAACATACACAGCAAGGAAAGGCTTACACAACAAGGAAAATAACTAGACAATTTGTTCATAAGAATAAGTTTTATAAAAATATTGAGTCTTAGATTGGTGAAATAAAATAGCCACGTCCGAATTTCATCGACAATTTGACTGATTTATACGAGTTTTTGGGCAAGCAAGACAAGAGAAATTGTGACGTAAAAAGTTTGGGGAACACACGTCAAGCTTGTAATGTGCTTGCAAATTTCCTAAAAAATTTAAATTGTGCAATAACAATAAGCTGAGGAATACAAATTTTTAGAGAGCTCACTAAAAATGAAAGTATCCTTATAAAAAGTGTGTAATGTATTGCTAGGATCGCATTGAAATTACAGGCCAAGCAACAATTATTTGATTATTGAAAATTATATATTTGCATCAGCTAGCAACGATACCCCTTTTGTTGGCAGAATAAATATGAGGTCTATTAAAAACTCCTTTTGCAATAAAACATCCTTGTTCAAAACGACTTCGCATTGCAAAATAATTTCTAACGATGTTTATACCCAAGAATTGTAAGGATATTAAAAATACTTCAAAAATATATAGCAAGACATCTAAAAGCCGATCAACTATAAGTTATTATAAGATATACAAAATTAGTGAAAAATCATTAATACGTTGAACAAGCCGAAGTAGGTTAAGACTTGCAACGAGTCAGTCTGGTTCTATATTCTCGTCTACAAAATCTAGTATTCAGAACTCTGGTATTGGTGCTACGAAAATACGTAATATTGTACAAAGCTCTGAACTCCAGGTACGCCTTCAATTACGATGAGTAAGTAGGCAAAATGCAAGGAAAAGGACAGGAATATGAAGAGGATTGCCAATTCTTGTGAAGGGAGGGGGAAAGACCGCAACTGCTTCCCCTTCCTGTTGTAGGCGTCTTTGTTGCTTTCGACGCCGAAAAATACATATATGTCAAGTCTTAGTTTAAATAGAAATATAAATAAATAAAATGCATTAGGTTCGCCAAAAACGACATTATAATATATCAAATTGGGGAACAACAGTACACAACGGCAAACGACAACGGAACAATGAAGTTGGGGGCGGTTTGAGCAAAGCCTTGTTTCCCAAAAACGTATGTGACAATTCCTTTGTTATGTTATTCCCCTTACATCCCCGTGGGAGGGATTCTTAAAACTTATAACAATGGGAGACAAAGTGTTAAAAGCCCAAGGGGATAAATTTTTCTTAAGATTTAATACAAAGCAATACCCGCTTTAAAAACCCAAGGGCCAAGCTGTGGACCCCAGTTAAAGAACCGACGTTTTCCTGTACGTATCCACGCCTTGTGGCTGTCCAAGCTTGCCATAATAAGGCAGAAACGGGATGTATTTGACGGCTGGGAACTTCTGTAAGTACTGTGTAATAAGCGGAATATCGTAAGTATGGATGGATGCGATTCGGCCGCGATTTGACGCCCCTTTGCCGTCATCTTCGAACAAGCTCCGCCATTTATGAATACCGCGCTCTTCTAGTGTTCCGGGCAATAGATTGTCCAATATGAAGCCTGTGATTCCGCCAACAGCCATGTTTGTACTCAGCAATACAGTAATGATCTGGTCTCCAGCAACGGATCCTGCAAATCAGTAGAAATGCCGGTTAGATTCTCGCCCCCATCAAAAGAAGCGAACAAATATGGCTCCAATAGCAGAAAGCATTTCGATAAGATATTGTCAAGAGTTATGTGTAGCTGGAATGGGTAAGGGTGATGTGGAAACGAGTGCATTCTCTAGCTTGGAATAGACGGACGTCTGGAACGGACAGGAGTCCGAAATAGAGGGGAGACCGGAATAGCGGGGACTCCGAAATAGACGGAAGCCTAGTATAGACGGAATAGTGGGGAGTCTGGAATAGACGTGGGAATGGAATAGATGTGAATAGACAGGAGTCGGGAAAGGACAGGAATTTAGAACAGACGGGAGTCTGGGATAGACGTGAGTCCGGAATAGATGTGAATAGACAGGAGTCGGGAATGGACAGGAATTTGGAATAGACGGGAGTCTGGAATTCTAAGCTTAAAGAAGTAGGTGGAGATTCCTGAACCCAAATAACAAAATGAATGGCTAGCAGTCCCTGTTAAGTAGAAACAAGAGTTATATACACAGGATGCTAGTTTCTTGAAATAGAAAGAAGGTATTTATAACATGGCAGTCTAAGTAAACTAATAAGTTCTTTAAAATGCTTGCAATCTTTCAAACACAATGACAATCTTCGTTGGAGCAACCTTGCAGTTTCTTGACAATCGAGACCGAGAATAACCAACGGGGGTCTAGAGTAAGAACTTCGTGGTGCAAGAATTGTTTCAAAAAATTAACAAGCAGTTGGTTTGTATGTGTTTTGGATATGAGAGCAATGGCGGCGCCAGCCACTAAGCTCTGGGGGGGGGAACCAAAAAAATTCAAGCCACGCCCTTTTAACCACCAGAAAACGCTCTTTTACCAACAGGGAACGCAAATTTTATCCGAAGGGAACGCCTATGACTAACTTTTGTTTGAAAATTGGCAGTTTGAAAATCATAAGATTACATCACAAAAAGTACGGTGTCAAAATATTACCCCTCCCCCAACATTTTCCCTTCGAATTTAGACGAGATACAAATCGATTCTGCTGAAAACTGGGGGGGACGTGTCCCCCCAAGTCCCCCCCCCCCATGGCGTTGCTACTGTATGAGAGCACTGCTAAAAATCCAGTACATGCAAAAACGAATCAAAAAACTACAAGGCCTACCTGTGTTAATTGCTTTCGGTGTCCTCTTCACCCAAAATGGCAGCACCATTCCAAAGAACAGAGAATTGCCCAATACGAAGAGGTTTCTCATTGAATTCAAATCTGCATATTGTAGAGTGCCAAGACCGACTGCAGTTATCATACCAAACATCACGATGAATATGCCGCCAATAACCGGATCTGGAATAGTTGTAAACAACGCGCCAAATTTGCCAATCACTGCCAAAACCAACATGAACATTGCGCCAAACTGGATCACCCGTCGACTGCCAACCTTGAGGAAATCAAGCAAACAATTGAAACATATGAATTAATAACATGGAGACGCCTGTTATGTAGAACAGGATGGTTTTAAGTTGCAGTTCATAGAAAACAACGATGTAGTATTGGCGACCATTTTCAATTCTACATGTTTTAAGAAACAGTTACCTAAATGAGAAAATGTCGTATGTTTCATCGGCGACAAAAAAATATCAGAATCTAACCTTACCCTAGAGCCTATAAAAAGAAAACAAGATAAAGAAGGACATTTGTCGAAGGAAATGCGAAATTTTTTCGGAACAAATCAACCAAAGTTCAAACTCACTCTTGTTATGCCAATGGCTCCTATGTTTTCGCTGTATGACGTAGTCCCGTTTCCAGTCCCCCATGCGCCTGTCAAAATGCAACCAATACCCTCCATGCCGAGCCCTCTGTTAATGGCGTGATGCGGTGGCGGAGGAGCCCCAGCGATTCTTGCGCATGCGAAGTAGTCTCCAATGGATTCGACCATAGAGCCGATGACTCCAGCTAACATGCCTACTACGGCTGCAACACTGATTGTCGGCGTTCCCCATTGGCCTAAAAACAATTTTGAATAAATTCCACTTGGTTTGACAAGATAACGACAAGAATTGTAGAGATCAAGGTAAATTTTTAAAGAGCAAAAAACAGGAGAAAAACATTTGAGCGCAGACAGACCTGGGTAAGGGACCCTAAACCAAGGAACTTTCTCGAGCACTGCCAAGCGGTTGTCAGTCCTTGCTCTATGGCCAGGGTCGAAGGCCCCGGCTGCAGTTAAGATGGCGGAGAAGCTCCATGTTATGAAGATTGATATCATTATCTGAAAACAAAAATGAATGATACAAACAATTTGCATGAAGAACTGTACAATGAATACTAAAAAGTATACATACTAGCGCTAAATTTATTATTGTGGCAACCTCTAAAAGGGAAACATGGGTCTAAGTTAACAATTTTTGCTGATGCTAAGCTGCAAGCAGGTATTGAAGCAACTTTTCTTTAATAACTCAGAGTAGACTGGGAGTAAGAAAATGACACCACGTGACATTTTCCCGCGAACTTCGACTGTCCTAATTTGTTTTCAAAGAATTCTTGGCGAAGTGTTGCTAGAGTTAATGAGAAATCTGAAAAATTACATGATTTCAAGAGTTTGTATATTATGATAAGGGGATTAAACTTAAATGCACTGTTAAAATAGCAGGAGAAGGCTGCGGCAAACAAGGGCCTAATCCATCCGAGAGGTAATATTCTGTTATCTTTTGCAAAAACACATCAATACTTTTATCATACTTACAGGAAAAAGTTTGAAAATTGGCCAACGAGAAACGGTGCATTTTCCTTTCGAGTAGAAAGGGAATGGAAATTTGTAATCTTTTATGACTTGGGAAAACAAGGTGATAAAGAAGATCATGCTGAAAAAGAATACAAAAAACAAATTCATTTAACGTTCATGTTAAGCTGAAAACAACTGTCTTTGTTTTACTGTCTATATATTTCATCTGGGATGACACAATTACCCCAAGTTAATAAAAAACTTAGATCTGCTGTTTGTTGTTTGTACAAAAAAACTAAAAGAAGGCATAAAAATTTAAGAAATAGTAAGTTGCATGTTGTACTTCATCAAAATAATGACAAAATAATGAGCGAATAAATTAAGCACTAAAATGAATTAAATTTAGTTTTGATTGTTGAAACTCATCATACAAGTATAAAAATGTGTGCTTATGATCCAAAATTTACGACAAGCGACTATTTCATGTCGTTGAGAAATTCGTTTATTTGCAATGGCAGAAGCTAGCATGAACCACTAAGTTCCTAATAAAGAAGGTCACATTTCGTCCAAAACTGAGCCAGAGCGTCAAGTGACACCAACATCAACTTTATCAATTATTTTTGCTAAATAAATTCTTATAGTGGAGGGTAGCTTTTGCTTTAAAGTTATATTGTGAGATAAATTAGTTTTTGCTGTCTAGCAGATGTTTAAGCAAGAATTTTTGTGCGAGGAAATCCAAACAAACTTGTAGGTGAGGCTGGATTTCATCAATGGATTTAATCATCACAAACGTTCGATGAAATCGTGTTCAATGGATTTCATCATCACAAACGTTCGAGTTGCGGCTAAACATTCTTGTAGCACGGTGAAATCATGGGTCACTTTTGTCTGGTGACGATAAAGCGAAATTTGTATGACTTTGCATTTTAAAGTTCTGACAGAGATGACAAGAGCAGTGTGTTCTAGGAGTGCAAACAGCATTGGCGGTAATTGTGTGGCAACAAAAAAATTTCAAGTTAGCTGAGCCGCAAGAGTAATGGATATTCACGAGACAATAGAAAACCTAGGGATTGTAAGATATTCAGCAGTTGAGATCGAAATTTTAAAAAGGCAAAGCCTTCAAGTGTGAGGATGGCTAAATTGTTAGAGGCGCTGACTACAGCCCAAAGGGTCCGTGGTTCGAGTCCCTGGCATGACCAAACTTTCACCCAGAGTGAGGAGAGTCGCCAGCTCTCTGTAATTCCAGGCGTAGGAATCACGTGGTGTGGTCACATCGAGAGGAAGGACCAGGACACTGCTCGATAAGCATAGCTTCTCAGTGTCCTAAAAACTACCTTGTAGAAACAAACAAACAAAGTTCAAGATTTAGACTTCGTTATCAAGAAAGGTTGATAAAGGAGAGAAGACAATTAGAAGTCGATGTCTGTTTATCATAAACCTCATCTCCTTGTGTGTATTTATCTCTCCAAAACTCGCTCTTGATCTTAATTCGTTTTAAGAGGATTTCAAGAATGATTAATTTCCGGCCATAATAATAAAAACTTACAGAAGAGCGATTCCCCACTGTGCACCTACGAAAAAACCGTATGACTTTTCAAATCGGATTACGGCAAAATGATATTAAAAAGCTTGAAAAATTGACAGTAAAGAATGAACAAAATAAATATTAAGCTTAGGAACAAAAGATAGGATAGAAGGAGACGTCATAAACTATAGTTTTATAATTTTTGAATTTGGATCATATCTCATTTGTTATTAAAGATTTTCATTGATTCTGCGAACTTAGAGGTATTCAAAGGTTTTCTTCTTTACCAATTGTTTACATCAAAATAATATTAAAAATAATATTTTATGACATCACAACTACACCAGTCTATTCAGAACAGAAATGAATTTATAATCACAGGCTACAGGTTGAACAAGACCCAGGCATATCATTTAAAGCTTAACGCAAGATACTGAACGTTGCCTTTGCAATGCCTTTGCAATGCCTATCAGTGCATCAGAGTGGCGGCAATGTAAATGCCGGTCCCAAACAAGTGAACAACTGATATGGCTTCCGTTAAAACAAAAGTGCAGAGGACGTTGCAAGAACTCGATAAAAACACATTCTTAAACCTTTCACTAACGGACTATACAAATCGTGTTTTCCCAATTCTGCAAGAATATCAAAAACTTCAGATACATGAAAAATCATCGATTGAACACACAGCAGATAATTGAAATGTAATTTCTTTGCTTCTAAGGTATCCTGATGAAAATTAAAGAAATTCCGATAAGTTAAAAATGAATCTTTAGCTCCATATCTGGCTGTTGATCACAGAAATAAGAGAGAAATGCATACTTGCAAATTAAGAGTGAAATTGGGTAAGTAACTGCTGGAAAAATGAGAAACAGTATCATACTTGCAAAATAATAGGCTGTTTCAAATAGTGGAAGTCCAACAAGGGCAATGGTTGGTACAATTGTGAGTGGGCCAATGAACCTGATGATCAGTCCCATGAGACCACTGAAGCCAATAAAGACCTGGGCAAGAGCAGAGACCATAATTGCTCCCTGGATCTAGAACAAAAAAGACATTTTAGCTGTAATACGAAAATGGTTTGTAATTGGTTTTTTACAATAGAAAAAATGGTTTTAACACCAAGCCTAAAATCTTGATGAATGTTGAGTAATTCTGCAACTGACAGAAAGTGAAATCAAGTGGAAGTCACTTCTTAGAGGCCTAACTACTTCATTCTAAAATTTGCAAACAAATTTTTGCTAAGCAAACCCTGCTCAACATATATTTTCAGCCAAAAATAATAATATCGCTCTGAGATAATTCCATCTGTTTCCTCTCTATGCAGTTATAATTACATGTAGTATATCAAGTTGAACATGAGTGGTGATTTGCTGCCCACCTCTCGCATCCGTATCTTCCATTCTTCATCTAGACTAGCACTACCATGGGAACCAGTTGCTGTTGAGTTTGGCATCACTAAGGAAAAAAAAGTTGGCATTACTAAACTGAATACCATGAAATTCCTGCAATATTACTTGCATATGAATGAAATCATTGAAACTCTTTCACAAAACAGATAAAGGTTTTTCTTCTTGTAGAAAAAATTTTATGATGAAGAGTTATCAGACTGGGTTTATTTACTTGTACCTGACAGGAAAGATCCTTACAGATTTTCTGTGTGAGTGGCTCTTAAAAATACATGTCGCTAAAAGTCAGAAAAAAGGAAAAAAGGCTGTGGCAGAGAGCTACTCAACTAGTTGGCCTGTGAAGACAAATCAGAAAACGACTTTTATGGTTTTGTGCTATCTTTCTATTATTCGTCAGCCTGATAAACCTCTAGACCTACAAACAATGGTTCCAGATTTTCTAGGGCTTAAACACATCTGTCTTTCTCATTAAGATCTTCTTGAAATTTCTATCTGAAGTGAATTGTGTTATAAAATTATGTAGTGAATTGTGGTATACAATTATGTAGTGAATTGTGTTATGTTATATAATTATGTATATTCTGATGCAAGACTTACTTGATGTGATGAGAACTGATGCTGTTGTAGTTAGATTCAAAGCAGGCCCTAGAGCAATAAGGTGTCATGTTTAGAATGTGATTTATACTAGCTATAAACCTTAACATAAGTAATCCTTTAACAAATTGACATATGAGTTTCAAAAATTCAAAAGACATATAAAATCAAGCTTGCAAGGAAAATGCATCAGTATTTGACTAATTGGATGAAAAACATTCTGGAAAATCAAAAACAGAAGTAAGTCAAAGTTGTACATGCCTTCTGAACATTTAAAAAAAGTTAAATGGAACAAATTGCCATTTAACATGGTTAAAATTAACACTTGCATTTTATAGGATTTTGTATATTTATTTTAGGAGGGTCAGCTTGTAACCTTGTTGTTACAATAAAAAAGAGAATCTACTTAACTTAATTATTTGTTGTTAAATTTCAAATCATAATTCGAAGTCTACTAAATAAAAAAGATATGATACTAAAGGAGATTTTACACAATAAATTGGATGCATTTAATACTCACTAGCTGTTGTTGCCAACTTGACTGCTTCAGGACAAGGGCCTCTCAATGACATTATTGCAATGGTAGGGGCAACAAAAGTAAATGTACCTCCTTGAACAATTGGTAGCCTAAGGAAAACATAAGAATAAGCATGAAAATTTATAGGAAAATACATAAACATTAACATTATTTAGTGGCAAGTTAGAAGCTATGTTAGTGGCACCAATATCCAATCAAGATAGGTACAAATATTTTTTAAGTAAAGAGGGGACTGTAATGACCATTGTTTAAACATAATCATGTCCCCCAATTGTATCATTGTCATTTACCCAGCATTGCCTTGTATCGACAGCAGTAATCAACAACATATTTGTAGCATCCCCTCGTATTATGTATATACACAAGTTTCTATTCGGGCAGTTAATTTATCAAGAGGCAAAAGTCACACAACATCATCTATTCCTGCACATTAAATTAGACCTCAAAGCAACATCACTTGCAATAACAAAACCAAAATTAAGGAACCTATCAACAGCAACAAGCATTTCTTTAGGGCTTTCTCAATAACATGTCACTGTCTAAGGCAATTACATAATTTAGGCATTGAGGGCAGAGTTTAACTTTAATATCTTTTATTGTGTACACTTATTCAAAGCCCTCTATTCAAAGAGTATTCTAAATTGAATTCGCTCAAGCTCTTTTTGAAACTGATATTGAATGACCTTATTACGACGCATATTCAAATGATTCCGTTTTCGGATGACTCCACTTTGAACAGTGTCTTTGAACTTTGGTTTGGTATCAAATGACACCGTTTTTGAGCGTATTAATGAAACTCAAATTCAAAAACAGATATACTCTAATCTGTTCTCATACGGAAATAGAGTAATGGCAACAGAGCCTAAAAAACTTGTATCCTTTTTGTTAAAATCCTTTTTGTTTTCAAGAAACTTCTTCTAAAATTCCATAAAACCTTTTTGGTTTTATGAAAACCTCATACACACATTTTAATACAAAGATTACATCAGGTCTTCATAAAAATCGTAAGGTCTCCATTTTATTGATTGCATGTCATCACACCCCTAAATGTTTCAAGGCGTGCAATTACCAGCATGCCGCCAAATTTCATATTACCAGGATGTATTCTAATTTGACTTAGATCGGCACACATACCTGACTCCTATAGTTGACTGAAGTAGGGTTGCCAGTCCAGATGCAAAGAAAATTGTGTTGATGATGTTACTGATCACAACAGGGTCATGTGCATAACAAAGAGGAACTGACAATACAAATGGCAGGGCAAATGTTGCTCCAAACATTGTCAGATAGTGCTGAAAGCAAAGAAACATTCAAGAACATATTTCATCAATATATTTTCAATGATACATTGTAATTGATGATAACTCCAGGTAATTTTGAAACAAAGTAAAAGGTATTTTAAAATGCTAATCAAACATGGCCTCATAGGATTTTGCACCAGTGACAATAACTAAAACTGAATACAAAATTTCCAATACTGTTATTTTGCAGCAACATTATGCTGTCATATGAAATGCTGCAAAAAGAAAGTTTCCAAGCTGAAAGTAAATGGAAAGTGGAAATCCAAAAGTTTTGCCACATGTATGAATTAAGTTATGTTCAAAAGAAAAAACATTTTAAACATTGTGTACTTTTTCAAGCATGCAATGAAAATAATTGTAAAAAGTAAGCAGGAACAAGTTATATCAAGTACAGTCAAGTCGAATTGATTATCATCTACAGAGCATTAAATTGCTTTGTAATTCATGTTACATCAGATAGTTTGTTTAAAAGGTGGGAGTAATCATACATTTAGAAAAGCAAGATGATAGGAGACTGTGGCCAGATATCCCTAATCCCCCGTCAGGCCCTGGAGGACTTTCTTTAACAAGTATTGCTTGACAGGTATCACCCTTGTAACTTCAAGGCATAACAAGTTATATCAATTACAGTCAAGTCGAATTGATTATCATCTACAGAGCATTAAATTGCTTTGTAATTCATGTTACATCAGATAGTTTGTTTAAAAAATAGGAGTAATCACACATTTAGAAAAGTAAGATGATAGGAGACTGTGGCCAGATATCCCTAATCCCCCGTCAGGCCCTGGAGGACTTTCTTTAACAAGTATTGCTTGACAGGTATCACCCTTGTAACTTCAAGGCATAACAAGTTATATCAATTACAGTCAAGTCGAATTGCTAATCAATTACAGAGCATTATTGCTTTGTAATTCGTGTTACATCAGATATTTTGTTTAAAAGGTGAGAGTAATCATACATTTAGAAAACCAAGATGATAGGAGACTGTGGCCAGATATCCCTAATCCTCCTTTAGGCCCTGCAGGGTTTTCTTTAACAAATATTGCTTGAAAGGTGATCACCCTTGTAATTTTATCCACATTGGCAGTTTGCCGAAGTGTGGAAATTTCATCACAAAAAGGCCTGTTTATCGTATATCATATTTGAAATGAGACATAGAAAAGAAAACATAATATCTGGATATAGTATTAAAGAGTTACTAAGGAGGAAATACCTGGAAACCAAGACAGAGAGCAATATACCATGGTGGATTTTCATCAATAGTGTAAAGCAGCTCTGTATTATCAACAAATCCATCTTCTGAGTTGGTCAGCTTTCCATCTTCTTCAGAAGTTGGAAGCTCTTGAAGATGAACCTGAAAATAAGAAACAAATACTTGTTGTCATGGTTATAGTCACAAAACATAATTGCAGTGTGAGAGACACATACAACTGAGTGTTTCATCCCAGCTCTTTGTCAGAATTGATAAAATGTCTCTCATTCCATTTATAAAATTAATGTTCAGTCTCTCATTCCATCTCATTCCTTTTTGTAACAAAAGTAAAAAGTATTTCATAATAATGTAAGGGGGTAGCTGTCAACAAATAGATTTTCAAGGCGCAACCTGATAACAGGCGATATGGAGAGGGAGTTTTTTTAATTTGCAAAGTAGGAAAAAATCTGCTAGGGATAATTCATTTTTATATTTGTATACGGAAAAAACACTGTGTAGCAATTTGTTGATGCAAAGCACTTCCTAGCTAGTGCCCCTACTGCTTATGATACAATATCTACTTATGTGATGCAGATTCTGTGATTTGAGCAGCAGCAGTTGTAGTGACTGTGAGGGCCAGGGCAGAAAACATCTGTGAGGTCCTTTTTTTACAATTTTTCCTAAGGTTCAATGCACCTTCTCATATGGCATGGCCCCCTAGGGCATGGCCCCTTGCACCCCCCTTAAACAGCCACTGGAGTTGGCAGCACTTATGACCCATACTGGAAATGACAAAAGTCTTAAGAATAGGGCCAAGGAAATAGATGGATGGCACCAGTAGTGGTCAAATGAGGGCACCCTAAATCATTGGCAGAAATTATGGGGGTGTTTGGGGGGGCTCGGCCCCCCCCCAATCAGCGATGTCGTCAGAAAATTCGGGCTTTTGTCGGATAATTGACAACCTTTTAACGGGTCGAAATTACTCCAAGAAATTGTTCTGAAAAGGAATTTTAAGCTAATCTTAGGGGCGTAATTACCAAAGCTAATCTACATTTTCCCTTTTTACCCCAGGAGGTTTTTACCAAATCATTAATGGATTGTTCTTTTTGCTACTTAATTATGGTGTGGTCAGGAAAAATTTCTAAAGGGTCCCATCAAAAATCACTTATTTTTATCAAATGTGCAGTTTCTTTAAAATGAGACATGATCCAAGATGTTATCTTGTCGGAAAATTGTAGGCCTGCCCCCCCCCCAAATGAAAGCCTGAATTTCCGCCACTGCCCTAAATGAACTGGTATTGGAATGAGGTGGCCTTGCAATTGTTTCAAATGTTTTACTATTTTTAGGTATACTTGTTCTACGTTTGACTGATTCCATTCATAAAATAGAATTCACTTCTTTATGAGGTCCACTAGACCTCGAGGCCCTAGGGCAATTTGTCTCCCTTGTCCCTCCCTCTCGGTGGCCCTGGATATATTATCAATATATATTTGTGATGATAATAAATTAAAAAGGCGCCAGAAAAATCCGTCGGCTTTGAAACTGTCAAAGGTCCTGTCCGGTCCGCCAAAGACTGTCGGAGAGGGTCCCGTTTAAAGAGGGCTTATGGCAAAACAAACATTTGCGCTTTCAGCTTGGAACTTGTTCTGAGGATGGTCACCGGTAGGAGAACAGAAAGAATATTTTCAATATTCATTTCACTCGCATAAACGCCAAACATAAAAAACATAAGTTGGTCAGATCATAAAAACAGATGAACGACAATCAATTAAGAAATTACAAGTACAAGAATTCAAACCAATTGGTAGAAACAGCTGAGACGATCATATATGTCATTAAGTTGCAATCCCTCAATCTTAAATATCCCCTCTGACCTGCCCCAAAAAGACTTTTATAATCGACGATATGATTTCAAACCGGGATGATCTTTTGTTCCTCCATTCAGGACCGTGCTTCAGTTACTGTTGCAGCGCTCTAGACTTCCTTCGCCATTCATTTNACTGTCTAAGGCAATTACATAATTTAGGCATTGAGGGCAGAGTTTAACTTTAATATCTTTTATTGTGTACACTTATTCAAAGCCCTCTATTCAAAGAGTATTCTAAATTGAATTCGCTCAAGCTCTTTTTGAAACTGATATTGAATGACCTTATTACGACGCATATTCAAATGATTCCGTTTTCGGATGACTCCACTTTGAACAGTGTCTTTGAACTTTGGTTTGGTATCAAATGACACCGTTTTTGAGCGTATTAATGAAACTCAAATTCAAAAACAGATATACTCTAATCTGTTCTCATACGGAAATAGAGTAATGGCAACAGAGCCTAAAAAACTTGTATCCTTTTTGTTAAAATCCTTTTTGTTTTCAAGAAACTTCTTCTAAAATTCCATAAAACCTTTTTGGTTTTATGAAAACCTCATACACACATTTTAATACAAAGATTACATCAGGTCTTCATAAAAATCGTAAGGTCTCCATTTTATTGATTGCATGTCATCGCACCCCTAAATGTTTCAAGGCGTGCAATTACCGCCAAATTTCATATTACCAGGATGTATTCTAATTTGACTTAGATCGGCACACATACCTGACTCCTATAGTTGACTGAAGTAGGGTTGCCAGTCCAGATGCAAAGAAAATTGTGTTGATGATGTTACTGATCACAACAGGGTCATGTGCATAACAAAGAGGAACTGACAATACAAATGGCAGGGCAAATGTTGCTCCAAACATTGTCAGATAGTGCTGAAAGCAAAGAAACATTCAAGAACATATTTCATCAATATATTTTCAATGATACATTGTAATTGATGATAACTCCAGGTAATTTTGAAACAAAGTAAAAGGTATTTTAAAATGCTAATCAAACATGGCCTCATAGGATTTTGCACCAGTGACAATAACTAAAACTGAATACAAAATTTCCAATACTGTTATTTTGCAGCAACATTATGCTGTCATATGAAATGCTGCAAAAAGAAAGTTTCCAAGCTGAAAGTAAATGGAAAGTGGAAATCCAAAAGTTTTGCCACATGTATGAATTAAGTTATGTTCAAAAGAAAAAACATTTTAAACATTGTGTACTTTTTCAAGCATGCAATGAAAATAATTGTAAAAAGTAAGCAGGAACAAGTTATATCAAGTACAGTCAAGTCGAATTGATTATCATCTACAGAGCATTAAATTGCTTTGTAATTCATGTTACATCAGATAGTTTGTTTAAAAGGTGGGAGTAATCATACATTTAGAAAGCAAGATGATAGGAGACTGTGGCCAGATATCCCTAATCCCCCGTCAGGCCCTGGAGGACTTTCTTTAACAAGTATTGCTTGACAGGTATCACCCTTGTAACTTCAAGGCATAACAAGTTATATCAATTACAGTCAAGTCGAATTGATTATCATCTACAGAGCATTAAATTGCTTTGTAATTCATGTTACATCAGATAGTTTGTTTAAAAAATAGGAGTAATCACACATTTAGAAAAGAAAGATGATAGGAGACTGTGGCCAGATATCCCTAATCCCCCGTCAGGCCCTAGAGGACTTTCTTTAACAAGTATTGCTTGACAGGTATCACCCTTGTAACTTCAAGGCATAACAAGTTATATCAATTACAGTCAAGTCGAATTGATTATCATCTACAGAGCATTAAATTGCTTTGTAATTCATGTTACATCAGATAGTTTGTTTAAAAAATAGGAGTAATCACACATTTAGAAAAGTAAGATGATAGGAGACTGTGGCCAGATATCCCTAATCCCCCGTCAGGCCCTGGAGGACTTTCTTTAACAAGTATTGCTTGACAGGTATCACCCTTGTAATTTCAAGGCATAACAAGTTATATCAATTACAGTCAAGTCAAATTGCTAATCGATTACAGAGCATTATTGCTTTGTAATTCATGTTACATCAGATAGTTTGTTTAAAAAATAGGAGTAATCATACATTTAGAAAAGCAAGATGATAGGAGATTGTGGCCAGATATCCCTAATCCCCCTTCAGGCCCTGGAGGACTTTCTTTAACAAGTATTGCTTGACAGGTGATCACCCTTGTAACTTCAAGGCATAACAAGTTATATCAATTACAGTCAAGTCAAATTGCTAATCAATTACAGAGCATTATTGCTTTGTAATTCATGTTACATCAGATAGTTTGTTTAAAAGGTGGGAGTAATCATACATTTAGAAAACCAAGATGATAGAAGACTGTGGCCAGATATCCTTAATCCCCTGTCAGGCCCTGGAGGACTTTCTTTAACAAGTATTGCTTGACAGGTATCACCCTTGTAATTTCAAGGCATAACAAGTTATATCAATTACAGTCAAGTCAAATTGCTAATCGATTACAGAGCATTATTGCTTTGTAATTCATGTTACATCAGATAGTTTGTTTAAAAAATAGGAGTAATCATACATTTAGAAAAGCAAGATGATAGGAGATTGTGGCCAGATATCCCTAATCCCCCTTCAGGCCCTGGAGGACTTTCTTTAACAAGTATTGCTTGACAGGTGATCACCCTTGTAACTTCAAGGCATAACAAGTTATATCAATTACAGTCAAGTCAAATTGCTAATCAATTACAGAGCATTATTGCTTTGTAATTCATGTTACATCAGATAGTTTGTTTAAAAGGTGGGAGTAATCATACATTTAGAAAACCAAGATGATAGAAGACTGTGGCCAGATATCCTTAATCCCCTGTCAGGCCCTGGAGGACTTTCTTTAACAAGTATTGCTTGACAGGTATCACCCTTGTAATTTCAAGGCATAACAAGTTATATCAATTACAGTCAAGTCGAATTGATTATCATCTACAGAGCATTATTGCTTTGTAATTCATGTTACATCAGATATTTTATTTAAAAGGTGAGAATAATCATACATGTAGAAAAGCAAGATGATAGGAGACTGTGGCCAGATATCCCTAATCCTCCTTATGGCCCTGGAGGGTTTTCTTTAACAAATATTGCTTGAAAGGTGATAACCCTTGTAATTTCATCCACATTGGCAGTTTGCAGCAGTGTGGAAATTTCATCACAAAAAGGCCTGTTTATCGTATATCATATTTCAAATGAGACATAGAAAAGAAAACATAATATCTGGATATAGTATTAAAGAGTTACTAAGGAGGAAATACCTGGAAACCAAGACAGAGAGCAATATACCATGGTGGATTTTCATCAATAGTGTAAAGCAGCTCTGTATTATCAACAAATCCATCTTCTGAGTCGGTCAGCTTTCCATCTTCTTCAGAAGTTGGAAGCTCTTGAAGATGAACCTGAAAATTAGAAACAAATACTTGTTGTCATGGTTATAGTCACAAAACATGCTTGCAGTGTAGAGACACATACAACTGAGTGTTACATGATAGGTTTCATCCCAGTTCTTTGTTAGAATTGATAAAATGTCTCTCATTCCATTTATAAAATTAATGTTCAGTCTCTCATTCCATCTCATTCCTTTTTGTAACAAAAGTAAAAAGTATTTCATAATAATGTAAGGGGGTAGCTGTCAACAATAGATTTTCAAGACGCAACCTGATAACAGGCGACATGGAGAGGGAGTTATTTTGATTTGCAAAGTAGGAAAAAATCTGCTAGGGATAATTCATTTTAATATTTGTATACGGAAAAACACTGTGTAGCAAATTGTTGGTGCAAAGCACTTCCTAGCTAGTGCCCCTACTGCTTATGATACAATATCTACTTATGTGATGCAGATTCTGTGATTTGAGCAGCAGCAGTTGTAGTGACTGTGAGGGCCAGGGCAGAAAACATCTGTGAGGTCCTTTTTTTACAATTTTTCCTAAGGTTCAATGCACCTTCTCATATGGCATGGCCCCCTAGGGCATGGCCCCTTGCACCCCCCTTAAACAGCCACTGGAGTTGGCAGCACTTATGACCCATACTGGAAATGACAAAAGTCTTAAGAATAGGGCCAAGGAAATAGATGGATGGCACCAGTAGTGGTCAAATGAGGGCACCCTAAATCATTGGCAGAAATTATGGGGGTGTTTGGGGGGGCTCGGCCCCCCCCCAATCAGCGATGTCGTCAGAAAATTCGGGCTTTTGTCGGATAATTGACAACCTTTTAACGGGTCGAAATTACTCCAAGAAATTGTTCTGAAAAGGAATTTTAAGCTAATCTTAGGGGCGTAATTACCAAAGCTAATCTACATTTTCCCTTTTTACCCCAGGAGGTTTTTACCAAATCATTAATGGATTGTTCTTTTTGCTACTTAATTATGGTGTGGTCAGGAAAAATTTCTAAAGGGTCCCATCAAAAATCACTTATTTTTATCAAATGTGCAGTTTCTTTAAAATGAGACATGATCCAAGATGTTATCTTGTCGGAAAATTGTAGGCCTGCCCCCCCCCCAAATGAAAGCCTGAATTTCCGCCACTGCCCTAAATGAACTGGTATTGGAATGAGGTGGCCTTGCAATTGTTTCAAATGTTTTACTATTTTTAGGTATACTTGTTCTACGTTTGACTGATTCCATTCATAAAATAGAATTCACTTCTTTATGAGGTCCACTAGACCTCGAGGCCCTAGGGCAATTTGTCTCCCTTGTCCCTCCCTCTCGGTGGCCCTGGATATATTATCAATATATATTTGTGATGATAATAAATTAAAAAGGCGCCAGAAAAATCCGTCGGCTTTGAAACTGTCAAAGGTCCTGTCCGGTCCGCCAAAGACTGTCGGAGAGGGTCCCGTTTAAAGAGGGCTTATGGCAAAACAAACATTTGCGCTTTCAGCTTGGAACTTGTTCTGAGGATGGTCACCGGTAGGAGAACAGAAAGAATATTTTCAATATTCATTTCACTCGCATAAACGCCAAACATAAAAAACATAAGTTGGTCAGATCATAAAAACAGATGAACGACAATCAATTAAGAAATTACAAGTACAAGAATTCAAACCAATTGGTAGAAACAGCTGAGACGATCATATATGTCATTAAGTTGCAATCCCTCAATCTTAAATATCCCCTCTGACCTGCCCCAAAAAGACTTTTATAATCGACGATATGATTTCAAACCGGGATGATCTTTTGTTCCTCCATTCAGGACCGTGCTTCAGTTACTGTTGCAGCGCTCTAGACTTCCTTCGCCATTCATTTCGTATTTCACTGAGGCCCTATCACAACACAACAGTTCATACTTCGTCGATGTTCGTTCGACTCACCTGATGACTATCTTCCTCCCTATTGTTGTCCATCTTGACACCTCTGGTCCGATCGCTTTCAGTCGATGGTCCCATGCAACCAGAAATGAATGCTTCCTTTCCCATTTTATATATTGTGATAACAAACTATTATGCGATGTTATTCTCAACAGGCAACTGTTCCAGATGATTTCCGTATTCACGTGCTCTGATAGTGCGCGCCTTTTCTATAGTCTCCTCCGCAGAAGTCAACATAAAGGCAAATGCTCGCAGCAGCAATCGCAGCAGGGTAGGACCTCGTGTTGTTCCTGCGTTCGTCATTCTTTGAAAAAAATTTGTAAATATTTCTCCACCTTTTCGAAATGATAAATTCGTTCCCATTCATGCATTCTTTACGATAATAAATATCGATAGAAATTTCTACTGGCGGATTTCATGGCATCAAAGACCTCTAGGGGATTCTTTTCACATTCATGGCTTAATTCTTTGCCGTAATTTTAATATGGAGGTTCTTTCAGTGGGCAATTGAATTACCGCTTTCTCTTCATTCTTCCTTGTAAATTCATTTTTTATCATATTCAGAGTTAACTGTCACAAAAATCAATTTATTACAGTATCATATAGGACTGTGGCTGGCTGTATGTTGGTTCAAAACTAAACGATGTTTTTCCCATTTTTATGTCTTTTCCCTCTGTTTGTATATAATTGAAAGTTTTGTGAAATCGAAATTCATTAGTTATCGTTGTAAACATAGGGGTGGGGGTGCTCTCTTTTCATTTAGCCTAGTTTCTGAGACACCGGCTCTTAAAAAAATCCTATGTACCAGGCATCGCGGAGCAGGCGGGGGCTGGGGGGGCTTTAGCCCTACTTTTGGCAAAAAATGCCAAATATTTAGCACTAAACTACCAGTAAAGCCTTATCAGGTTTTAGCCCCACCCCCCTACCAGTAAAGCCTTTTTTATAAGGTTTTAGCCCCCCCCCCCCCACTTTTTTAGACCCCCACTTTCTCAACGCTCCGCGGTGCCTGTGTACACAATTCCTTTAGTTTGTCTTGTTTTGAAAATAAGGGTCTTTATATTCTTTACTAATGAATTTATGTAGCTTTAATATTATCTATCAATACCCTCTTTGCTTATTTTTGGATGTAGACAGTAGAGGATTCTCAAAATATGAAGCTAAACGGAATTGAATCATAAATGTAATTCAGTCGGCTCCGCTTATAGTCACTCTGCTTCATATCACACTACTGGCTACAATCACATAGAATTAAGACCCAGATATTATGCAAAACTATTCAATCTAGCTTCCCTTACAGTCACACTCCCCTTACAGTCGCAAGTTTTCAAGTAACAGCTGGTATAATTTTGACTTGTCACAGGCGTTTACATAAAATTTAATAATTACCGCTTAATCTATTCGTAATGTTACTTGTTGTTGCTGTTAATTAATTAATTAATTTTCTTTTTTCCGTAAAAAGCTCTAATTTGTCATTTAGACGTAAAGAGCTTATTTAAGTATTAAATTGTACTTTAGTTAATTTAATTGATGATGATGATAATGATGATGATGATGTAATACCGCCGCTCAGCGTAGCCTCGCTTTAATCTACCTTCTTTGCAAATTTCCTTAACCTCATTTATCCACTTCCCCACCCACTTTAGTCATACTTGTTTGTGCATGCTGCTTGCGTCAACTTGCGCTAATGCCTTTGTAATATTGCGTATATAGGTATCATCAACACTTCTGACTAAGGATGCCCACCCTCTGTTATAGCCTCATTTCAAGTAGAAGTCATCCACTGGTTGACGTTATTAGAAAACCTATCTTGACGTTTTCATTGAGTCATGAGAAAAAATCTGCTGTTGGTTACTATGCTTTTTGGTATCAAGTCCTCTTGAAAATCATCGTTAAGCTAAGCTACCAATTTTTATGAATAGCTTGCAATGAATGGGCAAAGTTGATGATTGGAAGCTTTCTAAAAGATCCTTAAACTGGTCGAATGAACTCACCTCGTACTAATAGAGTTCTAGTGTGACGTCAACAAAAACCTTTTTTTAGAATTTTTGAATTTTAACTACATAACATAAAACAACACCATAAAATACTCCCCATATATGAGTCAAATATGTCTAAAATTAAAATTGGGTTATCTATGGAAAATCCAATAGAGGATCCATTGGGTATCTTCAATAGAAGATTTGAGTTTTGCTAACTGATCACTGTTATTTTGGCATGAGCAGAGACTAAAATCCAGAGGTTTGATGGGGAAAGAGCCAATGCACATGTGGCCATATCTCTGCCAATTCGTTACACACCTGACTGATTTTGCACATTTAGAGGTATTTCATGATGCTCTTTCGGGCTATGGGATTTTTGTTCAAAAATTCTAAAATTTATTTTTATGACGTCATAACTTAAGAACTCTATTAACAAAACAGTTTCCATCAATAGCAAGTTGTCAACAACGGATGCCAAAATCACATGAAACAGTAGCGATCGCCCCGAAACCAAATGCCCCTTATAGGCAGGGCAGGGCTTGCCTCAGTATCACGTGATTGATGACGTCATCGATAACGGCAAAACAGTCATAAATCCGCCATGTATTTAAAATAAATTGTAAAAATTAGCAATTCTAGGTTTTATGTGAATGTGCATTTCAATAGCTTTCAATTGATGTGTCATATAGTGGATTTTCCCAAGCTCTGCCACAACATTTGTGCTGAAAACTAAGTGAGTTGGAATTAATTGCAAATGTGCTAAAATTATGTTGATCTAGATATGTTTGATACTTCTCGACATTATTTGACTATGCTGGACACTAATAAGTCATAATAATCATCATAATGCACCTGTATAGTGCAACAGCAATGACGAAAAAGCAGTTTATTTACAAAGCGACTCTACATCTGGTCGCTGCTAGCTTTTCTACAAGTATTGAAACAGAATTATCTAGTAAATATTATTTGAAAGCTAATTCCATTCCAGTGTTGAGCTAAAAGTCTTCTCTTTGCTTCTTGGTATAATTACGTGCGCGTTGGTAGTGAAAATTTCGTTGCAACCTTAGCTTTCCTAATTCCTGCCGGCAGTTCATCGAGGAGTTCTGCGACATCTTTCCTGGAACTTTCTGGAAGCACAAGACGACACAATTAGCGTCACAGAAATGGCTGTTACGTTTGTGGTATTTTCTTTAAGCCATACTTAGGTTTTTGCTGATCATGTATGTACTTTAATGAATGCTTTATCAGATACCAGTTTCTATGTTCCTTCACTGGCAACCAGTCAATTGTACCAGTTCTTTCTCTCTGGCGTATCGGCCTAGTAGAATCAGTGGCGTAACGCACGGTGTGTACCTTTAAACACAAAACTAAGGGCCCCAAGAAATTTTTCGAAAAGCGGGTTTTTGGATAAATGCACCTTCGATTGCGATTTAATAGGCAAAGTTTGGTAACAAACATTTTCAGGTTTATTTGGTAACAAACATTTTCAGGTTTATTTATCCCAAATCACATATCCAGCATATCCAGATGATTTTACGGAAAAATTGGAAACCGAACTGCGGTCATTTGCAAAGGAATTCAAGAAAGAAATTGCAGACAAAGAGTCAGTCCTTGAAATTGTAAATTTGATGCTGGAGCGCAGAGTGAGGTCATCCTTACCAGAAGTGTACAAATTACTAACTCTGTTTGTAACAATTCCAGTTACGGTTCCCACAGCTGAGTGACCATTTTCAAATATTAAATTGATTAAAATGTACTTAAGGTCAAAGATATCTCAAGAAAGACTCGATAACTTGGCAATACTGTCCATAGAAAATTCGGAAGCCAAATCAATTGATAAGACTGAAGTCATTGAGCGATACGCACATGTCAATGCGCGAAGGCATAAAAGAATTGGCATATAGCATTTGAAAATTCTTTTTTCTGATAACATTTCAAATAAAATCATATTCATGACGTTTTTTAAACATTTGTGAACAAACTTTCGCATAATTTTATGCAAATTGCATTTATACGTTGCTTCATCTAGGTCTTATAATATTGTAAATGGCTTTGAAAAAAGCAAACATTTAGTAAACTAAAGCTTTTCGTCTGACACTCTTCAGAGTTTAAAACGTCAGAACATAGATCGAAAACTCTACGCTAAGAAATATATATACCCAGTTGTGGATCGAAATAGGCCAATCAGAAACACGGGCACATGACTGTAAAGGTTGACCAATCAGTGTCGCTTGCCTATTAGAATGTTACCAGTGGAGTCCTAAGGTGAAAACGAACTCCTTTTGTCTACACAGTAGCGGTTTTTTCGTGCTTATGTAGATATATTCTAAAACTGCTAGGTGGAACGACGCTCGGGCTTTACCAATAATCCGAAACATGTCGCCATTATAGTTTTTCGCACAATCTGGGTTTTCTAGCAAATGCTGCCCGATAGCAGAATCGCAGGTTTTAGTTGTAATTTTAGATTTGCAAGACCGAGGTGGCTGTTCTTAGCGTAGAGTTTTCGATCTATGTTCTGACGTTTTAAACTCTGAAGAGTGTCAGACGAAAAGCTTTAGTTTACTAAATGTTTGCTTTTTTCAAAGCCATTTACAAGTTTTGTACCACCAAAAGATTGTTCTTATAATATTCTTCATTATTCATAAGGACCACATGAGGACAGAAAATTTAAAGTTACGTGGGAATTTGTTGCAGAAAACAAGTCAAGTCATTCAAATTTTGACAGTATCTATCAAAGTCTAATGCCCATTCACTTTTGCGAGTTAAACCAACATAAAATAAGTCAGGTTATTAAGAGGGGCCTTCTAATTGGTCTATCCAACAAACGGATGCGTTTGATTGGTTGAAATATAACCTAGTATAAATGTAGTTGGTTTAACTGTGCCAGTGTGAAGACAGCATAAGCAAACATTTATTATTCACACTAGCACAGATTTCTTTAATATTTTGATAAAGTTTCACATTCAAAGTATTAGGGAAGGAGAGGAGTTGTTATTTCATTTCATGTGCCACCATTAGAGAGCATAAAAATATATTTGGCGGTAGAATCTCTCTTGGTATATTATTCTATGTTATCCATATGGGATTTTTCGGGAAAACCCCAAAGAGTGAGTAATTAGGCTCTAAAATTTGACTCAACCTTAGTTAAGTATGGGGGCCCCAAAACACGACTTTCACTAAGGGCCCCACACTGCTCCGTTACCGCACTGGTTCTGCCACATCTTTCCTGGAACTTTCTGGAAGCACAAGACGACACAATTAGCGTCACAGAAATGGCTGTTACGTTTGTGTTATTTTCTTTAAGCCATACTTGGGTTTTTGGTGATCATGTGTGTACTCAAATGAATGCTTCATCAGATACCAGTCTCTATGTTCCTTTACTGGCAAACAGTCAATTGTACCACTTCTTTCTCTCTGACGTATCGGCCTAGTAGAATACCTGTATTTGTTAGCCTTTTGCAATCATTTTAGGAGTCTCAACGGAAGAGGTCGAAGAGGAACGTCAGTATACTCCAAATTGGACATAACGAGAAGTTCAGCAGCTTGTCTCTATAATTTTAATGGAACGAGTTTTCTCTGATTTTTGCTATCATGGACATGGTATATCGGCATGCTGATCCATGAAGATGTTACACTGGCTATATGGTAGTCCCATGATAGATGATCGCTCAATATTGCAGCAAGCAATTTACTAAGTGTTCTTGTTTAAGACCTATTCCTATAATTTGTAGAACTATAATCTGTAGAGCTACAATCACTGCCAAAAGTCTTGGAACACTAACGTAGGTTTTCAAAGGCAAATTCAGCCATCCCCCTCTCCCCCAAG